AGTACAAGGTGGCAGAAGTTACTCACATATGCTTCTAATTTTTGCCATTAATTTATCTGTCCCTAACCCAGTACCTACTTGCACCTAAGGATCAGGGTTTTAGATAAAAATGAAAAATAATAAAGGAAAAAAAATACACCAGAAAAGCAAGAACTTAGTATTAATTGAGCAAAAAAGATAGTGGCTAAATAGGAAACTTAGAACTGGCAGAGTTATAGGTCTGACTCTACATTAATCAGAACAATCTCAAGTAAAAGAAGCCACTCAGGGGCTGGGAAGGTGGCTCAGTGGCAGAGTGCTTGCCTTGCATGCATGAGGCCCTGGGTTCGATTCCTCAGCACCACATAAGCAAAAAGAAAAAAAAAGCTGGAAGTGGTGCCATGGCTCAAGTGGTAGAGTGCTAGGCTTGAGCTGAAGAGCTGAGGGATAGCACCGAGGTCCAGAGTTCAGGCCCCATGACCGGACTCAAAAAAAAAAAGAAGGGGCTGGGAAGGTGGCTCAGTGGTAGAGCGCTTGCCTTGCATGCCTGAGGCCCTGGGTTCGATTCCTCAGCACCACATAAGCAAAAAGAAAAAAAAAAAGCCGGAAGTGGCGCTGTGGCTCAAGTGGCAGAGCGCTAGCCTTGAGCTGAAGAGCTGAGGGACAGTGCCCAGGCCCAGAGTTCAGGCCCTACGACTGGACCCCCTCCCCCCCCACAAAAAAAAAAAAAAGAAGCCACTCAGGAGGGAGAGTTGGCCTTACACTTACTTTAGAAATGGCAACAATGAAGGGACAATATACTCCTTCAGACAGGATATTAGAAATGCTTTACTTCTTTGGTTCTTTAATTCTTGAAAGCAGAAATGTGGATTCATCCCATTATGCAAAATGCATAAAGAAGGAATGAACGCTGTTATTTATTTGTGGTTCCTGGAGCTTGAACTCAGGGGCAGGGTACTATCCCTAAGCTTTTTTGCTCAAGACCACTTTTTTGCTCTACCACTTGAGCCACAGTTCCACTTCTGGCTTTTTGGTAGTTTAAGTGGAAGAGTTTCACAGACTTTCCTGGTTAGGTTGGCTTTGAACCATGATCCTCAGAGTTCTCAGCCTCCTGAGTAGCTAGGATTACAGGCATGATCCACCTGTGCCCAGTTATAAATACTAGTATTTTAAAGGAGGTCAGCAATAGGCTAAACAAGTGAGGACTTGCCTGCAAAGATTCATAATCTGTAAGAAAATTCAGGGGTTGGAGATGAGGCTCAGGTGGTACAGTGCCAGTCAATGAGCAAAAACAGCAGATAATGAGTTTCAGTCCCAGTCTCAGAAAAAAAAAAGAATGAAAATTTATTCCAGGCAAACCCAGAAGTGGATTGAGCAGGTAGAATTTTACAACCTGGCCAACTACATAAATGTTACCTGAAGAAAGGACCCAGAAGAGAACAGGACGAGAAGGCAAAAGCTATAGCTTGGGCTCTGTTGACCTCCAGGATCTGAGTGTACAGTTCACATAGGAGTGAAAACGCCTAGCCCCTGCTCAGAGGACTCTGTAGAGGAATGTAATGCTGAGAACTCCAACAACCTGGTTTTCCTGGGTGAGGATCACTTCCTTGCACAAACTGGGATCTGCCTGGTGTGTCTGAATTTTCCCATGTCTTCACAGAATTCTGAATCGTTTGTCTGATACTGGAGCCCTATTGCCTCTGAACTACAAAGCAACTGAACGACAATATTTTTCTGGACTTTTAACTTCCTTCAGATGTCTGCCTGCTTTACAATATGTCACTGATGGTTCCAGAGCTGAAAAATGCACAAAACCTTACAGCAGACTTTAAAAGAAAAAAAGAAAATTAATTCTGATATTAATAGTAAACTGATTTGCATGTCAGAATAAAGTTTATTAATTATTTTATCATTGTTTTTGTCTTAAGCTATCTTAGGCACAATCTGATAGTCAAGAAAAATAGCTAAAATCTCAGTCTCTCCAATTAACAATCCATACAACATGGAAGTGGCACTGTAGCTCAAGTGGTAGAGCGCTAGCCTTGAGCTAAAGAGCTGAGGGACAGCGCCCAGGCCCAGAGTTCAGGCCCCACGACCGGACTCCCCCCCCCAAAAAAAAAGAAATTCAGGGACAGTGCCCAGGTCCTGAGTTCAAACCCCAGAACCAGAAGGGGATGGGGGGGGGGGCAGGGAGAGCAAGAAAGCAAGATGTGTGCTTGCTAGACTTGTTGGTATACACTATAATCCCAGCATGCATGGAGATGGAGTTAGGATTACTAGGCCAACCTGGGCAACTAAGAAGACTCTGTCTTCACAGAACTAGAGGGAATCAGGGAAAAACATATAACAGTGGGACCCATCAGCTGCACTGGACATTGACCAAAATGAACTAAGCAACTCAATGGCAGCGATGGGAGGGAGGGAACAAATGGGAAAGAGGAAACAGAGCTGATGCTATGCAAAACAGAAGAAATGTACATACCACCCAATGTGGAAGAAATAACTGTATCACAAAGCTCATAGAACTCATAATTGTTATAGACCGCGATAGACAATTTGCTTCAGGAAAGTTAGAATGTGTTTGTGACTTTAACTGAGCATCACTACCCCACAATACTGTGAAATTTGGGAAATTATGTAACCACTTAATCACAATAAAAAATTTGAAAAAAAAAAAAAAAGACTGTCTTAAAACAAAATAAAACAAGATGTATTTTGAAAGGCTGGAGATGTAGTTTAGTGATACAGCACTTGTAAAGACCTGGGTTCAATATGCAGCAAACTACAACCCCTCCCCCAAAAAAGGTGTGCTTTGTGTTCCTCCACATCACTCAATTTGTGTGACCCACAAAACAGTTTAATTAGTAGGCTTTCCTTTTTTGTGAAATAGATACAACATCATTGAAGACCTGAGGGCCAGCTCACATAATCTTTTTTTTTTTTTTTGGGGGGGGGTAGGTCAGTCATGGGGCCTAAATTCTGGGCCTGGGCGCTGTCCTTGAGCTCTCTACCACTTGAGCCACAGTGCCACTTCTGGCTTTTTCCTGCTTATATGGTGCTGAGGAATTAAACCCAGGGCCTCATGTATGCCAGGCAAGCACTCTACCACTGAGCCACTTTCCTAGCCCCTCATATAATCCCTTAAAATCTCCTTCCTACATACAATTCTTTGATAACTCAACAGTTTGTGTCTTCAATTCCTGCTCCACACTAAAGTGAGACAATGACTGACTAAAGAGGCATGCCCAAAACCAAGCATCAGAATCCTTATTCTTTTTTTTTTTGTCGGTCATGGGCTTGAACTCTGGGCCTGGGCGCTGTCCCTGAGCTCTTCAGCTCAAGGCTAGCGCTCTACCACTTGAGCCACAGTACCACTTCTGGTTTTCTGAGTGGTTTATTGGAGATAAGAGTCTCATGGTCTTTCCTGCCCAGGCTGGCTTTGAACCAAGATCCTCAGATCTCATCCTCCTGATTAGCGAGGATTACAGATGTGAGCCACCAGCGCCTGGCCAGAATCCTTATTCTTGGTAAGGGAAGAAGGCTAAGGAATATGGAGCTTGAGAAATTAAGAGCGGTAAGACATAATTAGGGCTATCCCTATACCTCACAGCCTGGCATTCAAAAACCTTTCCATACTGTAGCTCCACATTAGCCAGTTTGCTTCCATTTATGTATTTTCACTTATGCAGTGAGGTACCCTGTAATCTGTAATTACTTCCCATCTGCTTGTTTCTCCAAAATCCCAATCAGAATTCATCTTTTTCCATCAGCTTTTGTTCCACAGCAAACCCTTCCTCAACCACTTACCATATACTATATTTCTGTTTCTCTAGGTCTTTACATTTTTTTTTTTGGGTCCGGTTGTGGGGCCCGAACTCTGGGCCTAGGCGCTGTCCCTCAGCTCTTCAGCTCAAGGCTAGCGCTCTACCACTTGAGCCACAGCACCACTTCCGGCTTTTTTCTTTTTGCTTATGTGGTGCTGAGGAATCGAACCCAGGGCCTCATGCATGTAAGGCAAGTGCTCTACCACTGAGCCACCTTCCCAGCCCAGGACTTTACATCTTGATTACACTACTGGGCTATATTGTAAGTCTTGAATAAAAGTCAAGGTTTTCATTAAAAGGATGATGAATGCTCCCTGCATAAGTGTTATAAAGCTACGTTTTGGGGGAAAAAATTATTTTCTTTGTGTAGGTCCTGGGGCTTGAACTCAGGGCTTGGGTATTGTCCCTGAGTTTTTTCATTCAATGCTAGTACGCTACCACTTGACTCAGAGTTCCACTTCTGGCTTTTTGGTAGTTTATTGGGAGATAAAAGTCTCACAGTGTTTCTTACCGAGGCTGGCTTCAAACTATATCTCAGCCTCCTGAGCAGCTAGGATTACAGGTGTAAGCCTGTAGTTTTTAATCTAAAAAATGACATTATTAGTTGAGCACCGATGGCTCACACCTGTAATCCTAGCTGCTCAGGAGGCTGAGATCTGAGGATCAGGATTCAAAGCCAGCTCAGGCAGGAAGTCTGTAAGACTCTTATCTCCAATAAACTTCTTAAAAGCCTGAAGTGGGGCTCTGGCTCAAGTGGTAGAGCACTAGTCTTTAGCCAAAGGAAGCTCAGGGACAGTTCCCAGGTCCTTAGTTCAAGCTCTAAGACCAACACAAGAAAAAGAAAAAGAAAAAGAAACTAAGGGGCTGACAAGATTCAAGAGACTTAACAGTGGTTTGAAACCAATCTATTACAGGGAAAGAAGGAAATAAACCAAGATAAATCTGAGAGCTGGATCTGGGCATGATTCTTTTTTTTTTTTTTTGGTCGTGGGGCCTGAACTCTAGGCCTGGGTGCTGTCCCTCAGCTCTTCAGCTCAAGGCTAGCACCCTACCACTTGAGCCATAGCACCAGTTCTGGCTTTTTCTGCTTATGTGGTGCTGAGGAATCGAACCTAGGGCCTCATGCATGCAAGGCAAGCACTCTACCACTGAGCCACCTTCCCAGCCCATGCTTCCGATTCTTTACCAGTTGGTTACCTGTTAAGCGTCCTGTATGCAGCTTCCACGTTTCCTTCCTGTACCATCACAGTCCTGGCAATGAATTTCAGATGTTTTGCCATCACCTTGGATTTAAGTCTTCACGCTGCAAGACCTACGTGATGACATAGAGAACAAAGCACTGAGACCGGGTAAGGAAACACAAACTACTGTTCATTTTACTGGACATCTGGAAATGAAACGTATGCTTTGTCATCTTTTAGAAAGTTCACACAAAGCATCTCCTGATTCCCTTGGGACTGGAGACCTGGCTCAATGCTGGAGCACCGGCCTAGCAAGATCGTGGCCTTGAACGCAAGCCCCAGTACTGCCACGAAAAAAAAAAGGAAAGAAAAGGAGAGAGAGGGAGAGAGAGAGAGACAGAGAGAGACAGAGCGCCGGTGGCTCACGCCTGTAATCCTAGCTACTCAGGAGGCTGAGATCTGAGGATTATGGTTCAAAGCCAGCCTGGGCAGGAAAGGCTGTGAAACTCCTTTTTTTTTTTTTTTTTTGTCGGTCGTGGGGCTTGAACTCTGGGCCTGGGCGCTGTCCCCCAGCTCTTCAGCTCAAGGCTAGCGCTCTACCACTTGAGCTACAGCACCACTTCCGGTTTTCTGGTGGTTTATTGGAGATAGGAGTCTCACGGACTTTCTTGCCCGGGCTGGCTTTGAACTGTGATCCTCAGATCTCAGCCTCCTGAGTAGCTAGGATTACAGGCGTGAGCCACCAGCGCCCGGTTGCTGTGAAAGTCTTATCTCCACTAAACCACCAGAAAACGGTAAGTGGCGCTGTGGCTCAAGTGGTAGAGTGCTAGCCTTGAACTGAAGAGCTGAGGGACAGCGCCCAGGCCCAGAGGGACAGCGCCCAGGCCCAGAGTTCAAGCCTCATGACAGAGAGAGAGAGAGAGAGGTTCTCTCGTTCTGTTAGCACAAACCCTACTTATGGAAGAAGCGAGGCGGTGGCAGGTGTCACCGCTACTCGAGCGGCCGGCCGGAGGCTGGAGCAGCAGGGTGTCCCCAGACACCGTTCACCGCCCCAGGAAGCTTTGGGCTGCGAGACGGAAAAGGGATCTGTCGGTCTTGCGTGGAGGGACAACAGCACGCAAACTTACCCACCCACTCGCAGCGCCGGCCTGGCCTTCCCAGCCCGAGCACCGGCCCTGCCTGACAGCAGCACCCTGAGGCCTCCGCGGACGCAGCCGACCCGAGCGGGCTCGCAACCGGAAGCGGAAACTACGGAATCCCCTGCGCCGCGCTACCACAAAACCCCAACCAGCCACAAACTGCGTAGTAACCATGGCAACGCTCTGGCCGGGTTCGGGTCGGCGGCTGGTCCCCTGAACAAGCAACGTGCTCGTTCATTCAAGTTCTCCATTTTCCTTTGGAGTGGCAGTCCCCGCGCCTGGGAGCTTAGTCTGGTTCCATAACCCCTAAATCCCATTAGCTCCTAAATCCCCATCGAGATTGAATTTCTTTTTCTGGAAGGACAATGAAACGTGCCAGGCTTCCGCAGCACACTTCCTGTTTTCTCTTAGTGAAGGTCACTGGTCTGCCTTCCCCCCCAAACCCCCACAAGTGAAAAACAGGCCCACCTCCCTCATCTGCCTAAAAACTAAGCATTTGAAATGAACGAATTTTCTATGACATCATTCTCCTAGCCATTTCACTAAATAGGGTGAAATCACTAAAAGTCATGGGAAATAGCTGCAGGATTTTTATGTCAGCTTGGCCATTTGCCTTCTAGTAAGAACTGATAGACATATCTTTAACAACAACAACAAAAATTCTTCCACACTGTTTAGACAAACTTTATTTATTGGTATGTGACCTATACACATCTATTTACCATTATCCTCCAGGTAAGTTCAGATCTCATAGCTACAAGGAAATGTACCTCCTCTAGAAAACACAGGTGCATCCTCATCAAGTTATGGTAACAGGAACACACACAAAAAAATTAAGGTTGCCTCATTGTAAGCCAGATCCAAAGAGCCAAAAATAGAGCTAGCTGTGAGACATCATTATGCTTATCAAGAAATTTGAATGCCTATTCTGTGCCAGGTACTGTTGGCACTAATCTGCCGCCTCTTACACCACTAGAAGACAGTATGTAGACATAAAATATAAATAGTAAGACAGGGTAGCATGTAATAAATGCAAAAGAAATTGTATGGACAGCAACTTAATGTGGTGGAAAGGCACTGGATTAGAAGCAGGAAGTGGACCCAATTCTGATAGTCATCAGTTATATGACCTTGAATAAGCACTTAAACTGGGGTCTGAAAACTACTACCTGCAGGTCCATCCCTGTTTTCTTTTCCCCCTGCTTTTGTAAATAAAAATACTGGAACAAGGTCATGCTCAGTTTATTAAATATGGATATTTTGGACTACAATAGCAGAATTGTGTAGTAGAAACAAAGATAGACAGTCAAAGTCTAAAATATATACTATCTGATCTTTGCCAGGTTTCTTTTTTTTTTTTTTTTGTCGGTCGTGGGGCTTGAGCTCTAGGCTTGGGTGCTGTCCCTGCGTTCTTCAGCTCAAGGTGAGCACTCTACCACATGAGCCACAGTGCCATTTCTGGTTTTCTAGTGGTTTATTGGAGATATTTGGAGATAAGAGTCTCACAGAGGGCTGGGAAGGTGGCTCAGTGGTAGAGCACTCGCCTTGCATGCTCAAAGCCCTGGGTTCGATTCCTCAGCACCACATAAGCAAAAAGAAAAAAGCTGGAAGTGGCGCTGTGGCTCAAGTGGTAGAGCGCTAGCCTTGAGCTGAAAAGCTGAGGGACAGCGCCCAGGCCCAGAGTTCAGGCACCATGACTGGCAAAAAGAAAAAAGAAAAAAGAAAAAAAATTGGTTCACATTGTTTAAATGCACAGCATTTTCTTCTGTTATCTAACCCTACCCTTCATTCAGTGACTAATTCAGGTCCCTCCCCTCCTATTGTTTCTGTTAAACATACTGTACAGACTTAGTCTTTGGCTTTTTACTATATCAAATAGTATTGTATACATAAAACACATAAGCTGGGTGCTGGTGGCCCACACCTGTAATCCTAGCTACTCAGTAGGGTGAGATCTGAGGATTATGGTTCAAAGCCAGCCCGAGCAGGCCCCACGACCGACAAAAAAAAAAAAAAAAAAACAATAGTCTAAACTTACACACACAGAATATATAGGAAGAGATGGATATTAAGAAACACTCCATAGGGGAAAAACAAAGAAGGAAGCAACAATGCTTGATAAGAAATGTACTCATTACCTTGCTCATGTGATTGTAACCCCTCTGTACAGTATTTTCACAATAAAAAACTAATTTTTTTTTTTTAAAAAAGAAACACTCCAGCCGGGCACTGGTGGCTTGCACCTGTAATTCTACCTACTCAGGAGGTTGAGATCTGAAGATCGTGGCAGGAAAGTCGGGAAAGTCCATGAGACTTATCTTCAATTAACCACCTGAAAACCAGAAGTGGTCCTATGGTTCAAGTGGTAGAGTACTCCCCTTGAGCTGAATTGCTCAGGGACCGCACCCAGGCCCAGAATTAAAGACCCATGACCGACAAAAAAAAAAAAAAGAAGAGAGAGAGACTGTGAAAATAGAAGACAAGTAGAAAGGAAAATTGTATTGGCTATCCCTGGAAAAAGCTCAAGACTGGAAACTAAGAGTTGTGGGCCACATGTTATACACATCATGTAAGTTTACTCACTTACCAATAAGAGTTGATCTGAGTTTTAGATACAAAAAAGTGTATCTTGCTTTTCACTGACATGTTTTTTGTCAGTTGTGGGGCTTGAAATCAGGGCCTAGGTGCTGTCCCTAACTTTTGTGCTCAAGGATAGCACTCTACCACTTTGAGCTACAGCTTCATTTCTGCTTTTTAAGTGGTTAATTAGAGATAAGAGCCTCACAGACTTTCCTGCCTGGGCTGGCTTTGAACTGCAATCCTCAGATCTCAGCCTCCTGAGTATCTAGGATTACAGGCATGAGACACCAGCACCTGGCTCAGTAAGTTTTGTGTCAGCTTGTGTCAGCGATATATAAATAAATATTCCCAGCAGAGATGTACCCATTCAGTATCCTCTCAGGTGAAAGGTGAGACAGGAGATGAAAGTTTAGCAGTCATCTAAGTTGAAGGTGTAATTAAAGCCACAGTAGAAAATGAAACCTTTATGTGGAAGAATACAATCATAGAGAAAGACCAAGGCCTGTGCCTGGGGGAACACCTACACTCTGGAGTAGGCAGCGTGAGACTATTAAGAGGCCTAGAAATGGTTGCCAGTTAGGTAAGAGGAGAATTAGGATAGAGTGCTGTCATGGGATCCAAGGGAGGACAGTTTCAGTCAGCAGCATCAAGTGTCAAATGATACAGAAAACATGAAGTTCATAGACTTTGTAAAGGACAGCTGAGTTAGGTGTTGATTGGGGAGAAAGCTACATTGCAATACTGATTCTGAGGGCTACTAGTGACTTTGGAAAGTGTAACCAAGTGAAAGCAATGGAAGTTAGGCTGCAATGAGGTTAAGGGCCAAGTGGTAGAAAGGAACCAGAAAGACTACTCTGTCAGGAATGATAGGGCGGGGCAGGCTGGGATGTCACTAGGTGGAAGAGCATTGGACTAGCATACATGAGACATAGGGTTTGATCCCCATTACTGAGCGTTAAAAAAAAATTATGGAGCAAAGAGAAAAGATAATCAGGTTCAGGAGATGTTGTCCAGAAGGTGACACCTGTTCCCTCCCTCCCCCAGACCTGGGGCTTGGATTCCGGGCCTGGGCACTGTCCCTGAGCTTTCTTTTGCTCAAGGTTAGCACTCTACCACTTGAGCCACAGCACCACTTCCGGCCTTTTCTGCTTATATGGTACTGAGGAATCAAATCTAGGGCTTCATGTATGCTAGGCAAGCATTCTATTACTAAGCCATATTCCCAGCCCCTGATTGCACTTGTAAAGGAATTATTATAGAGAAAAAATAGAAGATAAAATGCAAGATAAAATGGGGATAGATGGTACAAGTTTCACAAGTGAACAACAATCAAAAGCACAAGTAGAGAGAGGCCCAGTGTCAGTGGCTCACTTAGGAGCCTGAGACCTGGAGGATCACCATTCAAAGCCAGCCCAGAAAGAAAAATTCACTCTAAAATACCCAGCAAAGTGCTAGACTGGAGTTATTGCTCAAGTGGTAGAACACCAGGCCTGTGAGAAAAAGCTAAGTAAGAGATGATGCTCTAAATTCAAGCCCCAATACAAAAAAAGCACAAATAAAAAGTTTTCTTCAGAAAGGAGGTCATATTTTCTGAAGTACAAGGAGGCAATTATTCACTGACAACAGAGGACCTGAGAACTGGGAGAAAGATGTCTGACGAGCTGTGAGAAATACACTAAGGAGCCAGTAAGCAATGACTAAGATGACAGAATAGTCTGATAACACTGCAAAGGCTTAGGATGGGAGAGGAAATGGTTTTGGTAGAAACTAGGACAAATAAAAAAAGAGAGTAATACACAGAGAAGGGTAGAAACAGATACATTCATGGACTTCATTTTTGCATCCTCAGAATGCTGGGCTGCTTTCCTTAGTCTAGTGTCCATCTAGCTGATGCACCTTTGAATAAGGATGTGATCCATTGTCTGAAAGGATCCCCATCCACCCAACTGACAATTCTAGTTAGGGTACCCCACTACCCTCTTCAAAACCGGCTGTTTCAGCTTTTGTGCCCTTCCTCTAGCAGCAGCAGGTTACACACTCATTTACCCATAAACATCAACAGCACTCATCAAAGCAAAGAGCTATATCTGAGCAGAAGAACCTGTTAGTCTGGGCCAGCTAGATTACATGGGAAAGACACAAAAGGAAAGGTGCTAAGCCGGGCACTGGTGGCTCATGCCTGTAATCCTAGCTACTCAGGAGGCTGAGATTTGGGGATTGCAGTTCAAAGCCAGTCTGGGCAGGAAAGTCTGTGAAACTCTTATCTCCAATAGACCACCAGAAAACCAGAAGTGGTGCTGTGGCTCAAGTGGTAAAGTGCTAGCCTTGAGCTGAAGAGCACTGGGACAGCGCCCAGGCCCAGAATTTAAGCCTCACAACTGACAAAAAAAAAAAAGAAAAGAAAAGAGAAGAGAAAAAAGGAAAGGTACTAGCCTGAATCTGAAAATAAACAAACAAAAAAACCAACAATTCAATTCAATCTTGTAACCATCCCAAAGGTCTTCACTAGAAAAACAGCAAGAGTCTCTTTACTTCTCCCATAGGACCCATAGTGTTCCATCAAAACTTGATAACTTGGTGGAACTCATGTTCACAAACATTCCCACCCCATCTTTTCTTTTCTTTTTTCTTTTTCTTTTTTTTTGGGGGGTCCAGTCGTGGGGCCTGAAATCTGGGCCTGGGCGCTGTCCCTCAGCTCTTCAGCTCAAGGCTAGCACTCTACCACTTCAGCCACAGCTCCACTTCCGGCTTTTTTTTTTCTTTTTGCTTATGTGGTGCTGAGGAATCGAACCCAGGGCCTCATGCATGCAAGGCAAGCCCTCTACCACTGAGCCACCTTCCCAGCTCCCACTCCATCTTTTCTGCAGCTCAGAGAAATAAAGATGGATATTTGAGACAAAAAGTTTCCAATCACAAAGTGGTTGAGTAAAAAAAAAAATACAGCTCTTTAATCAGAAAGAATTTCTCTTCCCTCAACACAAATACATTAAAAGTAAAAAATACATATTTACATAATCACATGGGACAGGTATATAGCCTGGGTTAGGGGTTGAGGAGATGAGCCTTGGGAGCAATTGGCAGAGAGCTTCTCATCTGGTCCTCTAGGTGTCCCATAGCCATCTCCCTGGCTATGGTGGGTGGACCAGGAGGTGAGAGGGTGAAGTTCCAATCTGATGACAGAGTTACTGGCAAGCTGTGACAACGAGGCCCCTCTCCAGATAGTTTCTTAAGATCACCAGGAACAACAGGAGGCACTGTAGTAGATGGAACTGGAGTGGTTGGAGCCGAGTAGGTGAATGGCTGCATTCCATGTGGGAGGAAAAGGATGACACCAATGCTGGTTCCACTGTCTAAGGGACCATGGCTAAAGGAGATGGTACCTGGGGAACTAAGAGGGGGATTACAAATTGGAGTGGTGTGAATCCAGGTGAGGTTCATAGCTGGCCATTCCGTAACCTGCCAAGGCTGCTTTGGTTTCAAAATGAAATGTCCTAGCTGTGTCTGACCCATCTTCTCCACGGGAGGTACAGGAGAAGAAGCAGCTGAATCTCTGTGATGGCTGGGAAAATGCTAGATCAGGGGGGAAAATGAAAATAAAAACTTATTTAAAAACTTTCATATTGGCTCCACCTAACTTCTCAAACCCTTGCTTTCCTTGGGAATTCAGTTTGCAATGCAAATATACCTTGTTTTGTGTAACAGATATGTTCTTACCAGAGTATAATTAAGTAAAAACTTTTAGTCTAGTAATATCACGTATTCAACAAGCAGTTGAGGGCCTACTATGTGCCATGTACCATATTAGGCACTGAATATTAAGAAATAAAACCCTGCTGGGTGCTGATGGGTTCTGCTTGTTATCCTGGTTATTAAGGACGCTGAGATCTGAGAATCATAGTTCAAAGCCAGCCAGGGCAAGGAAGTCCATGAGATTTTTTTTTTTTTTGTCATGGGGCTTGGACCCTGGGCTGGGTACGTCCCTGCGCTCTTCAGCTCAAGGGGAGTGCTCTACCATTTGAGCCACAGGAGCACTTCTGGTTTTCTGGTCATTTATTGGAGATAAGAGTCTCTTGGACTTTCCTGTCGGGGCTGGCTTTGAACCGCAATCCTTAGATCTCAGCCTCCTGAGTAGCTAGGATTAGAGGCATGAGCCACTGGCACCCGGCTAAGTCTGTGAGACTCTTATCTCCACTAACTACCCAGAAAATTCAGAAGTGGAGGTGTGGCTCAAGTGGTAGAGTCCTAGCCTTGAGCACAAAAGCTCAGGGACAGAATCCAGGCCCAGAGGTCAAGCCCCAGGACTGGGAGGGGGGGAGGGGGGGCGAGGGGGAAAAGAAGAAGCAGAAAAAAAGAAAAGAAAACTCTATAGGTTCTGTTTATGAGGTAATTAATTTTGAATTTCCTTAAAATCCTTTTTTGTAGTTTTTAAAAATTAATGGTGCTAAGGAATCAATCTCAAGAGTCTTATATATACTGGGTACATATTCTCACAATGAGCAACAACCCTACCCAGAGAAGTCTATTTTGAATTGAAATAATCATTTCTCAATTTCTGTATTTTAAATTCTTAGTTTTCTGGCTGGGATATAGCTCAGTGGCAAAGTGCTTGCCCAGCAAATATAATGTCCTGGGCTTGATCCCCAGTACCAAAAAAGAAAAGACCAAAGAAAAGTTAAAACAAATTAGTTGTTTTTGAGACAGGGTCTTATTATGTAGCCCAAGCTAGCCTTAAATTTGAGAATCTCCTGCCTCAGCCTCCTGAGCGCATGGACTACAGGAGTATACCACCATGATGCCTGGCTATAATTTAAGTTCTTACTTTCTATTTTTTTTTAAGCTAGGGCCTCACTATGTACTTCAAACTGGCTTGGAACTTGCTATGCAGTTCAGGCTAACCTCAAAATGTGATCCTACTGCCTTGGCCTCTTAAATACTGGTTTTAATTTTTTTTCTTGCCATGCTGGGAATGAACCCAGGGTCTCATATAAGTGTTCTACCAGCCTTTAGTATCAAGTATAAACTAACACAAGTATAAACTAACACATAGGCAAGATCTTGCTGCTTTTTTTTTTTTTTTGCCAGTCATGATGCCTGAACTCTGGGCCTGGGCATTGTCCCTCAGCTCTTCAGCTACAGGCTAGTGCTCTACTGCTTGAGCCACAGCTCCACTTCCAGGTTTTCTGCTTATGTGGTACTGAGGAATCGAACCCACGGCCTCATGCATGCAAGGCAAGCACTCTACCACTGAGTTACCTTCCCAGCCCATTGCTGCTTATTATTTAACCAGTTACATTCACAGCCTTAATAAGTATGGTTGACCAAAGGATAGGTTATTATGTTCCAGAAGCTCCCTCCTTTCCCCATTTACTTAATTCTATGTCAATACCCTATTATTTGAAGGCACAGAAAACAGGTCACCTAAAAATCAGGTATAAGAATCTATCCAGGGCTAGGAAGGTGGCTCAGTGGTAGAGCGCTTGCCTTGCATGCCTGAGGCCCTGGGTACGATTCCTCAGCACCACATAAGCAAAAAAAGAAAAAAGCTGGAAGTGGCACTGTGGCTCAAGTGGTAGAGCACTAGCCTTGAGCTGAAGAGCTGAGGGACAGCACCCAGGCCCAGAGTTCAGGCCCCACGACCGGACCAAAAAAAAAGAATCTATCTGATGCTCCTCCCTGTACATGTCTCATGGATATCCTCTCCCTCACTCCTAGTGATGTATCTCTTATGACCATTCCTTGAAACCCAGTAGAGATACTTGAACAGGAGTGAAAAGATGGACAGAGGAAAAGTTTTAGGGGCAACAGAAAAAAAGCTGAGGCATCTTCCTTCAGGAATCATTTGGACAGATAAAAAGCCTTCTCTAGGCAGAAAGCAGATAAGCTACACGAAGGATAGTATTAAACTTTGTGGATGTGTGCCCAGGCATCCAAACAGAACAACAACAACAATAACAAACATGCAGACAAAACAAAAACAAATCTAGAAATCAAGACAATTCAGGAAACGTGGGCATGTCCTTCCTTTCCTCAAACAAACTTGTGAAAAACATCCAGAGAAAATGGAGGGAGAAGCACCTTTCTGTATGCTATCCCAGTACTGGATTATTCTTTTACCACTGCCTCTAGTTTTCAAATTGTTACCTTAGTCTTCTGGTGCCTGCTGCTTCTCAGTGATGACTTCTGGACAGCTATATGAGGAAACCAAGTCTTTAACATCCCTTCTACCTGTAGCAGGGTTCCTAGATAACGCTCCCTATGAAAAGAACATTTTAAGAAAGTCATTCAGTGTGGAAGAAAAGAAAAGAAACAAAACCAAGATTTTACAGCTTTCCTTTTAATGAGGTACTGAGTAAAGAACTAGGGAGACTTACCCCATCTGAGGCTTCTGCAAAACACCCACAATACGCTGGATCCTGTCCATTGCCACACTCTGCTGGAAACTGCTCAATCCTGGGTGAGGAAGAGAAAAAAAAAAAGGGGGGGGGGGTAAGGTTTGCAATCCAAAATGGTCAGTTAAGGAAGGACAGAGAGTACTGAAACTGATTCACCTAAAGAAGATACTGAGGCAACAAAAAGAAAAATCCTAGCTCTCAAGACTTAAAATCATCTCCCCCTACCCCCATCTACTTCATGCAGGCTGAAGGTGCGCTCAAGTGATAAGGTGCTAGCTTAGTAAGTATAAGGCCTTGACTTCAAACCCTTAGTTCGAGAGACAGAGAGAGGGAGAGAGAGGGGAAAGGAATAAAGAGATTTGAAAAAGACAGAAATATATCTACAAAGATGGAAAACTGGCAAAAACAGACATACAGAGACAAGGGTAGAGGCCCTTGGGTAGGAGCCCGGAAAAATACAATTAATCAAATAATTACCTCTTTCATAGCGGCCCATCTTCAGCCCATTCAGTAGGTCCGTAAGAGGGCGAATGAATCCTTGGAGCTCTTTACACTGTAGAGAAACAGCACAAAGGTTCTGACAACAACAAGAATTGCCTACACCAGGAGTAATGATTCTTAGGTTTTGATCACCCAATTAGGTGTTTAAGCACTGCAGCCAAGTGTCTCCTTTTACTGCTTTGTCTTACCTTCTGAGCAAAGAGAAGGTCTCCCTCTGTGGTACAACTTTGGGTATTCTGACTGGTCTCCAATTCACCAGGTCTTGATCTTTTGACCCCAGATCCTGACATAGGAGAAGCCAAGCCTTGCTGTTCCAGGTGAGATGCCGTATGTTGGCTACTGAAAATCTTGGTTCGATGCCTGAATCGGATAGGTCCCGGACTGGGCTGGGAACCTCCCCTCTGCCCAAAAGTGTCTGGCCGGGGCCCCAGGGCTCCCTTGTCCTCCCTCTCACTATCGGAGGGGAAGCCAAAGTCACTGTTCACTGGGGAGGTGGAAAAAGGAGAGAGAGAGGAGGAGGAATAAGAAGAAACGCTAGATGGGGAATCCATAGGTCCAGAAGGGGCTGGAGAGCAGCTCCTGTAGTACCCAAAGATCCAAACCTGCAACTGAAGAGCAAAGCGAGGGGAGGTTGAAATCAAAGTGTTAGGATTTGACAATGGACTGGGAGACAGGGTATATTGCACCCACCTCTACCCATAAAACACACACACACACACACACACACACACACACACACACACACACACGCACACCTGGTACTGACTCTCTAGCTTCTGCAGAGAAGCTCTTGGCATGAAAAAAGCGTCTGATGTTCTTTCCTTTGGTTCAGAGTAAATACCTGAATTGACACCTTCCCATTTGCCCAGTTTCCCTCGGCTGTTGCCCAGATCATACCACCAGCTAGTGGCAAACCTCTACACCGGAACCTACCTAGTATTCCTACGGGAACCGCCCCTACCCTTACTGGCCTGGCTGCCCCTTTTCCAATCTCTCAGGATCAAGATCTCCGCTCTGGTACCTCCGATTCACGCCCGGCCAGGTGATGCAATCCCTCCTAAAACTAAAATCTGGGTGTACTCTTCCAAACCCACTCTCTCTGGGTGCAGTCCTCCCCAATGTCTATTTGTCCCCCGGTTCTCCTTACCTGTATCGATCAGCTCAGGTCAGGCTCTGTCTCCGGCGGCTTCTCAGTCAGACTCTTCAGTCTAGTCTACCCACCTCCGCCTCACTCTCCGTGGGTCCCGCCCCTACCCCCTCCCAGACACGTGCGGTCCCGCACGTGCCTCCTCCTGCGTGTACAGATCTCGCGCTTTCATTGGTTGCTTAGCCGGTAACACTTGACTCTCCATACAGAAATTCACAAGCCATTTGCTGCAGCGCACAGGGGCTCGGCCAATAGAAAAGCAGCAAGGTGGTGATTGGCTGGAAGGAAAGCATTCCGTGCTCCGCCCCTACATGCGGCTCCGGGAGAGGACCCGGTGATGTTGGGGAAGGGGGGGCGGGGGGGCGGGAGAGGAGGATTGCAAAAAGAGTGAAGGGAAAAAAAAAAGGAGAGAAAGGAGGAACAGGGCGGAACCCATGGCCTTAAATAGACTGGTGATGCTTGGGAGGCGTAAGGCTGGAGAGAAAGGCCGCACGACTGGAGGCGCGTGCCTCCGGACGTGGGATCTCCGGTTCCGCCCCTCGGGGTTTCTGCCTCCCTCCCCCCCCCCCCCCCCCCCCCGCCCCGCCACCGCGCGCCTCCGCTCACGAGCGCCACACGTGGAAACCGTCAGCGACTTGTGTCTGCAACGTGTGAGAGAGCATGGACGTGAGACACGGTGTGTCCCGCTCCTGCTCTCGGCGGCCCAGCCCTCGTGACTCCCCGGTCTCTGTTTCACCCTCCCTTCCTCTCGTCCAAGTTGGGTGCCTCTTGCCCTGCCGGGTGAGAAGGGTGGGGACGGCGGCCGAGAACACCACGTCCTCTCCCGGGCTCCCGCTGGGGCGGCTCCTCCAGCCCTGGTCTTACATAACCTGCCACGCACGTTACCAGCGCTGATGCCAGCCCGCCAAGACGCTAGAGGTCAAAGCCGAACTCGGTTGTTCTTGACCCTTCGGCCGGGGCTTTTCAGACCCTGAATTCTCAGACTCTGAGCACAGGGAGTCAGAGGAGGGTAAGGTCCCTTGATCAACTAAGTTACGGCTTTGTCCAGCTTCAGTTCCTTATTTGCTCCTGTAGAAGATTCCAAGGAGTTTGAAGGAAGAAGAAGGCGAGACTAAAATTTGGGAAGTCTCAAACAGTATCGGAGATGTTAACTGATCGTTGTCGGTGGCAGTGAAGAGAACGACGGGGAGAAAAGAATGCAGGATCCTCGGGGAGTGTCGACCGGTTGACCAGATGACACGGAACAGGCCACTAGGGGGCAGCCTAATTCTGATTAGGGTCTACCGTATACTTAAGAATTAAAAAAAATTTAAAGTATGTGCTTATCATAATGACTGTATGCAAAAGGTGCGTTGTTGGACGAGGATATGAGTAGTAAATGAGAATATACGTGAATCATTTTAAGTATTTTCTAATACCTAACGTTTTCCATGTTTAGTGATGTATTTATTTTATAAAAAGAAGGGTCTATAAATCTCTAGTTTTCCCCAATGTAATATCTCAATACCATATAAAGAAGTAAATAAAATAGAATGAAAGAGAGTTGAATGACTAGAATAGGCTTGTTTTCTGTGGGTGTTCTACAAATCGGTACAAAATTCTAGGTTTATCCCCAGCCCATAATTTCCTCTCATCTATTATTGCCTAATTCCCTTTCTAATTTCCCCTTCCTGCTCCCAAGTCCTGCAGATCTCTTCAGTGTTGTGACTTTAGCGTAGACACTCATGAAGAAATAGATAATGAAGTTATTTCATTTTTTTAAAAATTTATTTTCTGGGGGCTGGGAAGGTGGCTCAGTGGTAGAGTGGTTGCCTTGCTTGCATGAGGCCCTAGGTTTGATTCCTCAGCACCACAGAAGCAGAAAAATCCAGAAGTAGCACTGTGGCTCTAGTGGTAGAGCACTAGCCTTGAGCTGAAATGCTGAGAGACAGCTCCCAGGCCCAGAGTTCAGGCCCCATGACTGACAAAAAAAAAAAAATTCTTTTCCAACTTCTTGCTAAAGCTTCATCCAAAGAGTCAAAGCAGCTTTTTCTCACCTGGGGAGGGGGGAGGGGAGAAATAATGGAAACAGATCAGGAATCCATGAAGCTCTTCTGTGGTTCCCAATTCTATGCAAATACTTCACAGATTTCATATTCTGTAGATTATGTTTTAATTCCACCTTCCCATGTTTTAATTCTTGAGAAAGATCTGTCTCCTCCATTCCTCCTTTCTCCTCTAGCTAAATGTCTTTTGTTTTATAGTTAAGTAGACTCCCAACTTTCATTCCATATATTACAGCTTCCTCTTGACTCCTTTCCCCTACAGTCTCTCTCATGAGATAAGGAACCTACACCCACTTCTGACTCTGAACTTTGACTCCTTACTCCACCATGTTACATGACCTGCCTATTTTGCTTTCTGACGCCTGCCATGCCTTCAAACCCAGCCAGAATAGAACCACCTCTGATTTCTCAAGGCATACTGGAAGCCTGGAGCAGCAACTCTATTCCACTTGCTCTGCTTTAGGAGGTCCTGAAGTCTTCTTAGTTCAGAAAAACTACTGAGTTTCCTCACAGTTCCCAAACTTCTTTACGACTAGATAATAAAAAGGTGGTTTTTTACCCCCCTAAATGTGATTCTTCTTATTAAGCAGCTGAGAAGTAACCAGGCTGGAAATGCTAGCCAAAGATAACTGGTAAGAATTACTTCAGACTCCCCCAAGGCTAGTGGCTGTATCTTACCTTCTACATGAAATACATCCCCCCCTGTAGGAGGGCCCAGGCCAGGAGAAAGGAAACAGGACTCTGCAGACTAGATACAGCATCATTCAAGTCTGGACTCTGCTAAAATACAGACATCCCCCCAAAATAATCCATTGTTACCCTATCGGTTCCCACTCCCCCTCCAAAAGGATAGCCACCTCTTTACATTAAGCCTGTCTTTCTTTACTCTAGTTCCAGAAGAAAGATCCAGCCCTCCTTCCCATCACTATAGAGATGTCAATTCAATACCCTTAACTAAATCATGTCTAATTTTTTAAAATGAGTGTGACAATATGCTAGGTGCTATATGATGCATATGAGTAAGAACAAGTCATGGTTCCTGGCCACAAGGTCCTGTTCCCTACAATCTATCGGAAATCACCTACATACTATAAAAATATAAATCTGTCCCTATTGTCAGACTTAAGCTTTCCATTCCTGCTGGCTCCTCCCATCTGTGTTCCAACTATATGCCAGATGCTCTTTAGTCCTGTTGTTCAGCCATTGCTATTCTTTTTTATTTTTGTCAGACATGGGGCTTGAACTCTGGGCCTGGGCACCGTCCCTGAGCTCTTCAGCTCAAGGTGAATGCTCTATTCCTTGAGCAGCACTTCTGGTTTTCTGGTGGTTTATTGGAGATAAGAGTCTCATGGGGGCTGGGAAGGTGGCTCAGTGGTAGAGCGCTTACCTTGCATGCATGAGGCCCTGGGTTTGACTCCTCAGCACCACATAAGCAAAAAGAAAATGAAAAAAAGCTGGAAGTGGCGCTGTGGCTCAAGTGGTAGAGCGTTAGCCTTGAGCTGAAGAGCTGAGGGACAGCGCCCAGGCCCAGAGTTCAGGCCCCACGACCGGACCCCCCACCCCCAAAAAAAAAAGAGTCTCATGGACTTTCCTGCTGGCTTGGAACTACGATCCTCAGATCTCAGCTTCTTGAGTAGCTAGAATTACAGGTGTGAGCCACTGGTGCCTGGCTCTATTCTTTTTTCATATTAAGTTTTTCAGATGGTTTGTCTCCACTTGTCTCTATTCCCTCAGTGTACTCATGTTCTCTGTATTTTGTTTTGTTTTGTGGCACCAAATGGAACACAGGGCCATATACATGCTAAGTAAGCACTTTGCCATTGAACTAATTTCCAGTCCCCACCTCCCTTTTAGCACATATTAGTTATACAAGGGGATTTCATTGGGCAATTTCCACCTATTAGCCCCTGTTTTTATGAAATAGTATAATGAGATTTTGAACCTGAAATACTCCAGTCTCCACCTTTCAAGTGCTTGACATTATAGGCATGTGCTACCTCAACTGGCTTGTCTTTTAATTCCACAAAATCTAACCTTCTCTAATCATTTTATTAAAACTAATCCTTTGATACTTTGGAGCTTTTGATTTTTTATCTCAAGTTTCTCTTCTAGTTCCTATAGTACAAACTGCCTCCCTTTCCTATCAATCCTCCTTAATTTCCTTGGTTGACCCTTCCTCCTCTTATGAATGACAGGCTGAGGTTTTAATGACCTTTTGATCTGTGTGTACTGCTTCTGTTGAGCTCATTTCTTTCGTAACTGTGCCTTTGCACTTGGAACTCTACCTGACCTAGTTCTGCTGACTTTAGGATATCCTTATAGGGCTGTCAACACAAATTCATCTTGGTCAATGCCAAATTTATAACTTCTCTTCTAAACCACTCTGGTCTCCTATAGTTTGTCAGCCATCTTCCCAAACATGTTTAAAACCTATAAGTTATATTAACTCTCTCCTATTCCTCATATGAATTGTCACTGAATCAAAGCAAAAATTAGTTCTTATTTTACTCCTCTCAATTCATAATGTTATTTCCTTAGTCTGAGACTTTAACAGATTATTCCTGGAACAATAAAAGTCTCGTGAATCTCTCTCTACTACATTGCATTTTATGTGTGTCTGTGCCCATCCTGGGGTTTGAATTCAGGGCTGAGCTTTTTTGTTCAAGGCTAGGGCTCTACAACTTCCTGATTTTTTTTTTGGTCAGTTGTGAGGCTTGAACTCTGGGCCTGGGTGCTGTCCCTCAGCACTTCAGCTCAAGGCCAGCACTCTACCACTTGAACCACAGCACCACTTCCAGTTTTCTGGTGGTTAATTGGAGATAAGAGTCTCATGAACATTTCTGCCTGGTCTGGTTTCGACTCATGAGCCTCTAGAGTAGCTACATTATAGGCATGAACCATCAGCATTCAGCTACTAAATTGCATCTTACATCCAAACAGATAAAGAGGTTTTTTGTTTTCCTCAAATGCACTTCATTGTGGCTTTACTATGCTGAAAGATGTAATTAAGTTCCCTATTGCTTATAAATCCAAACTTTACTCTGATATTTCAGACTATAATTTAGCCCATCTTACCACATGTGATATTACTAAGTTTGCTTATAGAGTCTTACACTTTTTGTTGTGGTTGTTGTTGTTGTTGTTGTGGGGCTTGAACTCTGGGCCTGGGCGCTGTTCCTGAGCTCTTCAGCTCAAGGCGAGCCCTCTACCACTTGAGCCTAAGCACCACTTCCTGTTTTCTGGTAGTTAATTAGAGATAAGCGTCTCATGGCCTTTCCTACCTGAGCTAGCTTTGAACCATGATCCTCAGATCTCAGCCTGCTGAGTAGCTAGGATTACAGGTGTGAGCCACCAGTGCCCAGCTCTTACTATGTAGTTCTAGTTGGCCTAGAAATCATGATGTAGCCAAAAGTTCTATTTTAATTTCTACTGCTCCCCTCTATAGACTTTTTTCTTCAATCTTGCCCTATTCATTAAACACATTATTCTTGTTCTACTCACTCCCTTCTACCTATCTTTAATTTGTAATTATCTCCTAATTGCTTTCATAGCTTTTTACCAACCAAAAGATAACTTATTCTTCAAGTAGTATCTAAACCACAATCACATTGGACTGTGGTGGTTCATGAGTGTAATTCTAGCTACTCAGGAGGCTGAGATCTGAGGATTACAGTTCAAAACCAGCTTGGACAGGAAAAGTCCATGAGACTCCCATCTCCAATTAACTACTCAAAAAGAAAGAAAGAAAGAAAAAAAGAGCCAGAGCTGAGGGACAGCAACCAGGCCCAGAGTTCAAGCCCCATGACTGACAAAAAAAAAAAAAGAATCAGAAGTAGAGGTGTGGCTCAAGTGAGGTATGGCTCAAGGTATGGCTCAAGCTCAGGGACAGCACCCAGATGCTGAATTCAAGTTCCAGTACAAGCACTAAATAAATACATTAATTAATTAATAAACAAATCACTTCCTAAAACCTTTGAGGTTATTCTACACTGTCTGTCCAACACTGGCTAAGATACTTGTCTGTATCATATGTACCCAAACTTATATGTAGTTTAACATGGTAACATACCTTTTCATTTTGTTCTAAGTACTTCATAAATGTAAATATTTTTTAAAACTCCTTGGCAGTAACAACCTCCTAGATTTCTTTTGCACCAGCATCAGCATCCTTAGAAGCCTTAAGCATAAATTACATACACATTGAATTTTACTGAACTGAAACTTAACTACGAATCTTCCCATTGTTTTATATACAGGGTAAGAGAGTTCTGTAAGAGATGTGAAGGCCAAGTTCAGATGAACACCTGCATTGTGGTATTAACTTTGGCTCTTCTCTCCACCAAAGCCTGGTATTTCAGTTCTCTGTCTACTCTATGTTACCAGCCCTAGGATCTTTTGGGGGTTCCGTGCTCATCTCCATTCAACTCACTGGTTCTGTTGTTATTGGTTTTGTGGTGACAGGCTTCTGGTAGTTGGCTTGTTCTGTTTCAAGACTAATGGTCGTCTCTGCTGTTTGTGTTGTTACCTCTTTATCCAACCTATCCTGCCCTCAGAAGAGAATTGGGAAACACACAATTATCATCACTATCCAACATGCCAACATTTCCACAGACTCTCTGTTGAGAGTTCTCCCCTTCACTATCTCTGCCCTCACTAACAGCCTATTCCCCCACTCATTCCTGCAAAGACTTAAACTTAGGGATTTGCCCTGCTCTGTGCTTACTTCTGACAAGTCCCTTGCCTGCCCCTCTTTCTTAGTATATTAGTGCACCTATTGGTTCTGGCTTCCTTCTCCTTCCCAGGCATGGCTAACAAGTCTATTTTGGGACTCATTTCCTAGGTATTTTCCCACTTACTCACTTTTATTTTTTGTTAATCAGTTACAGTTCAACATTTTCCTTCCTTCCTTCCTTCCTTTCTTCCTTCCTTTCCTTTCTTCCTTCCTTCCTTCCTTTCTTTCTTTCTTTCTTTCTTTCTTTCTTTCTTTCTTTCTTTCTTTCTTTCTTTCTTTCTTCCTTTCTTTCTTCCTTTCTTTCTTCCTTTCTTTCTTCCTTTCTTTCTTTTTGATATTACTTATTCTGACCCTCTTAAATTTAGAGGTCACTCACCAACTTGTCCTCCGACTCAAACATAGAGTAGTCAATGGTAAAATTTGCACCAAAGTCATCTGGGGAGGAAAAAAATAATCAGTTGTAACAAAAGATAAAGGGAATGTGAAGAAATTGCTCAGAATGATCCAATTACTCAAGGTGTAAAATTTATTGGTATAATCCACTTCTAATTAATTTTGTGAATGTGTATGTATGTATTTATATAAAAACATATATATAGGGGCTGGGAAGGTGGCTCAGTGGTAGAGCACTTGCCTTGCATGCCTGAGGCCCTGAGTTCAACTCCTCAGCACCACATAAGCAAAAACAAAAAAGCCGGAAGTGGCCCTGTGGCTCAAGGGGTAGAGTGCTAGCCTTGAGCTGAAGAGCTGAGGGACAGCGTCCAGGCCCAGAGTTCAAGCCCCACGACCGGACCCAAAAAACAAAACAACAACAACAAAAAAAACATATATATATATATATAGTTGTTGTTGTTGGTTGTGGGGCCTGAACTCTGGGCCTGGGTACTCTTCAGCTCCAGGCTAACGTTCTACCACTTGAGCCACAGCGCCACTTCCAGCCTCTTCTGTTTTTGTGGTGCTGAGGGACTCATGCTTGCAAGGCAAGCGCTCTACCATTGAGTCACCTTCCCAGCCCATTATATTTATATTTTTAACCTGGTACATAAAATAATTTACAAACCGGAAATTTTCCAAAATTAGTAACCATTTTTTAAAGTTTTTCTTTCTTTCCTTTCTCTCTCTCTCTGTTTTTCTTTCTTTCTCTCTCTCTTTCTTTCCAGTCCTGTGGCTGGACACTGTCCCTGAACTTCTTTTGCTCAAGGCTAGCACCGTACTATTTCTTTTTCTTTTCTTTTTTTTTTTTTTGGGGGGGTCCGGTCGTGGGGCCTGAACTCTGGGCCTGGGTGCTGTCCCTCAGCTCTTCAGCTCAAGGCTAGTGCTCTACCACTTGAGCCACAGAGCCACTTCTGGTTTTTTTCTTTTTGCTTATGTGGTGCTGAAGAATTGAACCCAGGGCCTCATGCATGCAAGGCAAGCCCTCTACCACTGAGCCACCTTCCCAGCCCCCTTCTGGCTATTTCTGTGTATGTAGTACTGAGGAATCAAACCCAAGGCTTCATGCATGCTAGGCAAGCATTCTACTAACAAGCCACATTCCCAGCCCATTTTCCATAGAATTAAAAAGTTACTAGGTTTGCTGGGTGCTGGTGGCACACACCTATAATCCTAGGTACTCAGAAGGCTGAGAGCTGAGGATTGCGGCTCAAAGCCAGCTCAAGCAGAAAAGTCCCCTTGAGATTCTTATCTCCAATTAACCACTCAAAAAGCAGAAGTGGTGCTGTGGCTCAAGTGGGAAAGCACTAGTTTTGAGCACAAAGAGGCTCAGGGACATCACCCAGGCTGAGTTCAAGCCTCATGACTGACCAAAGAAAACAGAAAAACTAGGTTAGCCAGGTATAGTGGCATATACCTGTAATTCTAGCTATTCAGGAAGTGGAAGCAGGAGGATCTTGAGTTTGAGTCTAAATGGGGCAAACTTAATAAACAAAATATAAACATAACAAAATATAAGTTGAATAAGATAGTTCAAGCCTAGAATCCTACCTACTTGAGAAGTGAAAAGGGGTTTAAGGCCAGTCAGGGCATACCTCAAACAAGAGTTGGGTACAATGGCACATACCTGTCACCCCCAATGATACAAGGAAAACAAGCATAAAGCAAGACCCTGGGGCTGGGAAGGTGGCTCAGTGGTAGAGCACTTGCCTTGCATGCCTGAGGCCCTGGGTTCGATTCCTCAGCACCACATAAGCAAAAAGAAAAAACCTGGAAGTAGCACTGTGGCTCAAGTGGTAGAGCACTAGCCTTGAGCTGAAGAGCTGAGGAACAGCGCCCAGGCCCAGAGTTCAGGCCCCACAACCGGACTCCTCCCCCCCCCCAAAAAAAAGAAGCAAGACCCTATCTTAAAAATAATCCAAGCAGCCAGGCACTAGAGGTGCATGCCTACAATCTCAGCTACTCAGGAGGCTGAACTCGGAGGATTGTAGTTTGAAGCTAGCTAGCCAGGTGAAGAAAGTCCATGAGATTCTTGTCTTCAATTAACCACCTAAAAAGCTAGGACTGGAGCTGTGGCTCAAGTAGTAGAGTGCTAGCCATGAGCAAAAAAGCTCAAGGACAGCTTCTAGGCCCTGAATTCAGGCCCCAGGACCAAAGACAGAAAGTGAGTGGAACTGTGGCTCAAGTGGTACAGCACCTGCCTAGTAAGCTTGAAGCCCTGAGTTTGTTCCTTAGTACCTCAAAAAAAAAAAAATACAGGTCTGGGTACATGGCACAAGTGACAGAGCATTTGCTAAGTACATGCAAGGCCCTGGGTTCAAACTCCAGACCTTTTTTATTTATTTATTTTTGTCGATTGTGGGGCCTGAACTCTGGGCCTGGGTGCTGTCCCTCAGCTCTTCAGCTCAAGGCTAGCGCTCTACCACTTGAGCCACAGCACCACTTCCGGCTTTCCCTGCTTATGTGGTGCTGAGGAATTGAACCCAGGGCATTATGCATGCAAAGCAAGCACCCTACCACTGAACCACCTTCCCAGCCCCAAACTCCAGAACTTAAAAATAAAAAAATCACTAGCTTGAGTAATAATATCATGACTTTTTAAAAAAACTTTTATTTTGTCCTTTGTTGGACTTGAACTCTGGGACTGGGCATGGTATCTCAGCTCTTCAGCTCAAGGCTAGCTCTCTACCACTTGAGCCACAGCACCACTTCCGATTTTCTAGTGATTTACTGGAGATAAGAATTTCATGGATTTTCTTGCCTGGGCTTGCTTTGAACTGAGATCCTTGGATTCTCAGCCTCCTCAGTAGCTAAGATTACAGGCGTGAGCCACTGGCGCCAGGCTATAGGGTGACTCTTGAAAGTTTAAAATGAAGGGTAATCTCAGAACTAAATATTTCCAAAGTCTCCACCCACTAAGGCTCAGAGCTTTTCACATACTCACCATAATTAGGAGTGACTGTGTAATAATAGATCACCTGATAATACTCAATCTCTTCCAGTCCTTCTTCATCTTCATATTCTTGTCCTATGGGGAAGGGAGCAAGGACTATAAATCAAGGGATAGGCTGGAAAACAAGGACGTGTGGAGTTGATTCTAGCTCTACTAGTTTTCCTTCTTTCTGCCTTGCCTCCAAGGGTCATATTATCTCTCAGCCTCCGTAGGTCCCAATATCCTGGGCTCCCTATTTAGAATTAGGTCAGCTACTTTGTGATCTTTCAATCCAGAAACTCCTTGGACAGAAAACAAGTCCCTTTATATACAATAAAAACCCAGAGGGAGAGCTAAACCTTAAAAAAAATGTAGGAATAAGACAGAAATGGAAAGTAAGAACTTTTTATTCAGTGTGCTTCAGAATTGATTGTATTTGTAAGGGAGCCTCTCTTATCAGTGTCTTTCCTAAATAACTCACATTCTCAGGCTTTTAGATTTGGAATTTAGTCCTCCTAGCTTCATTGGTAACCAGCAGTGAACAAGCCTCTTAACATCCATTTTCTTAAAATGAGTCAGCTGAACTACATGAAATATCACCATTAATTTTTCTTCCCTGCCAAAACTAAAAATATTGTAGCTTTGACGATTGAATCTGGAATTTCAGGTTTCCTGCTAAGCACTTCTCTGAGCTTCTTGAATGTTCTCCCTCCAACCCCTAGTTAATGACATAAGAATCTAGAGGAAAGGAAAACAATGGGAGACACCTGGCAGACTGGAAAACAAAGGAGGGAAGGAGCCAAGCTACTCTTGGGACCCTGTCCCTGAAGACAACCAGTTTTTCCACTATGCTATAGTCCAACACACAACTCTGTCTTTACTAATAAATTTTTTCCCTCCGACTCTCTGGGACAGGAGATACCCTGTCTTCCCTCACTGGTTTCAGATTGTCCCAACTTCCAAAAGTCCATCTTTTCTGTCATTCTCATGCTGATCTCTCTCTTTTTCAACTTTCCTGTAACAGAAAATTGAGTCCAGGTCTTCCCTTTGGGGCTCCATCTTCCCTGAGTCTTCGCTTCTTTGACAGGAGGACTCTGTTTTAATTCCAGTTTCCTGGCTTTCTCTTTGATATCTCTGTTCTGCCCCCAATCTGAGCTCTGGCACAGATGAGAAAGCTCTACTTTCTACTACATACACTGGAATGCACTTCCCAATGAGTCTCCTTAACATTTTGTTCTTTGCCATCCACTTATGGTAGGAAATCTGGCTCCAAAGCTCCGGGAAAGATGTAGACTTACCCAAGATAAGTGGCACCGCAAGGATGGCTACAAAGAGGACATCCATTCTGGACTTGGAATTATCGCTGTGAAAGTAAAAAGAGGAAATTACTCAGTTTCCCACCAAACTTACCCCGCCTCTTCTGCCTCTCTAAATCTGGGAGGGAGCTTCAGCCCTTATTTTCTCTTGGGACCAGAATTCTCCGCCTACTTGCTGACAAGAACATTGGGTTACTACTGGTTCTCCTTTGCCAGAACTGCCTGGATTGAGAGAGGCAAAAGTCAGTTCTGATGTAAACTTGTTCTTGGACAGCTCTCCCAACTCTAGATTAGATATATTCAGGGCTCCTAAAGCTGCTACCCAAGTCAACCAAGAAGCCTAGTCTTTCCCCAGCTTTTCTTGTTCTTTCTCAGTCCTGGGAAAAAAAAAATACAAAAAAGCTCTTTCTTCCTCTTACTATCCTTAACTTACCATCACCATCCAGGGTTGCATGGCTTTCTAAGGCTTACACATAGTCTCTTTCATCCTGGTGGAAATCTTCAGAGGAAGGGGTGAGCATTTGTTCTTGACCGAAAAGCCCCCCTTCTCTGCCCATCCTGGCAGAGGATCAAGACAGGAGGCCCATCACTGTGTGACCTGCAAAGCACCTACTGTGTTGCTGCTGGTAAAAATCTGCCAAGGCTAGTTACTTCCTTTGTGGTCAGTGCTGTCCTTAACACACCTTCTTCTCAACTTCCTGGACCCAGGAAAGAAGTAAAGAGGAAGCTAATAGTATCTTCCCCAGTGACAGGTGCCAATCCCCATCTCCCATTTTCAACGATTTGGCTTTTCCTTTAGGCTTACAGTTGTTTTTTTTTTTTTTTTCATTCAATTCAACTCAACTTAAAAATAGTAACATACGTGCTAGGCTCAGTGTGCTAGGACCGTCAGCTAAGCCATTCAGCTCACAGGCAAGAGAACATGAAAAGAACACACACACATATGTAGAACAAATAAAAGCCTGCTCAACATGTACAGTGAGCAAAGCACTATGCAAGTCTCTGCAGAGCCACTCATGAACAAAGTTTACATCCTGCTCTCTGCAGCTGTTAGCTTCTCTGCTAACAGCTAAAAGGAGAGAAACATGAGTTGTCTTTTCTCTACTTCCCTTGACTCTGCCTGCTGAGCTAAGAAGCAGATCACACTAGAGTTTTGAGCACTGGCCAGCACTGTCTGGGGAAAGATCTGCTTGGTGAAAATTGATTTATCAGATCCTTTCCAGAATTTCCTGTAAAAAGGTAGAAAATACCTATATGAATGTACATACACTCATTGGATCATAAACCACTTTCAGGAAGTCTAGTTCTATTCAAACAATTTCTAGTTTGTCTTTTTTTTTTTTTTAATTTTGATTTTACTTACTCTTCCAGATTCTCTCACTTTTCTGTCCTAGGCATCTCGATATGGACCAACTTCTCCACATTCAAATGAAGTAACCATACCCTCCTCTACTACTTTAACTTCCTGTTATTCTAATATAAAATCTGCTCAGTCAGAGGAAAAGACACTACTGCAGTTCATTTTTCAGAAAATAAATAAAGGAAGTATGACATAAAAAGAACTGGGAGGAGGGGAACAATATGTGTCATTTTCCCATCGCTCGAATTGCTTTTTAATTCCTGAATTTTTTCTAAATATCTTCCTAACATTTCTCTCCAGGTTCCTGTTGCTTCTCTCTAATTCAATTATTCCAGAGTACAGATAAAGGCTTCACTGGAGACACTCTTGTATTCCATGTTTCCTATACTAGCCTATAAAAAGAGTTTCTTCTTTTAAGCCTCTTTAACTTTCATCCCTTAGGTAGCAGCTCTAGCTCATTTCCTCTTATTCAAGTAAGAACAATACCCGTCCCTATCTCCCTGCACCCCCTATCCTGTAATCTCTTTTTATTTGTCCCTTAGATTCAACAGGATCTTCCCCTTTCTGTAGCCGTTTTCCAGGAGAGGTAGGCTTGCTACCACCCTTCCCCATATAATAACGATAGCATCTCTGGAATCAGTGGTCTAACTAGGCGCAGTATCAGCCCACTCCCTTTAACGAGCTGGAGCCCCTCCCAGGACCCAGTCCAGGGCTCAGAAGACCTGGAGACTACAACTCCCGGCAGGTCGTGTATCCCCGCCCCCTCCGATGTAGCCCCGCCCCCACGGAGTCTCCATTGGCCTTCCGGGGGTGGGGATTAGATGGGAGGTGGCCATGGGGCTGCGGCCGGGAATTGTCTCCTCCTCGGCTTCCGTAGAAGTCCGGCGGACCTTCATCTGGGGTTTCAGCGCCCCCCCTTCCCCTTCCCCGGGGTCCGGGGGTGACATTGCGCCGCGCCCCTCCTGGGGCTGCGTCTCGGCCCCACGCGGCTCCCCAGCTGGCGCGCTCCTCCCACTCGTCTCTCCTGACGGGGGCTCCATCCCGCCCCCAGCTGCCCAGCCATGGGGGCTGCGGTGTTTTTCGGGTGCACTTTCGTCGCGTTTGGCCCAGCTTTCGCGCTTTTCTTGATCACTGTGGCTGGGGATCCGCTTCGTGTAATCATCCTGGTCGCGGGGTGAGTAGGAGGTTCGTGCCGAGGTGGGGGAGCGACGACGAACAGAGCGAGCGAGCGAGCGAGCGAGCGAGAGATACGGAAAGGGCTGGAGTCACTGGGACGAACGTGGGAGCCTGAGCCGGGGGAGATAAATCGGTGAAGGCTGGCCAGGATCGGGATCCGGGGCCGAGTGATTTGCCCTTTCCTGCAGTTGGTTTACGCCTTCCAGGAAGCGCACGGATTCCTCCCCTAGTGCTCCCCGCGACGTCTGTGGAGGCCCGAGGCCGAGGGCCTTGTGAGTGGGCTGGGCTGACCTCGGTCACCCGAGTCGGAAGCCCTGGAGGATTCAGGAATGGATCCCTCGCCTTTGCGTGTCACGCTGATAGATCCCTATCCCTTCCCTTCCCACCGCATTCAGATTCCTAAAGATGAAAACCTTGTTAGAGATACTCTCTGTCCTGGTCCCTGTTTCTCTGACAATCCGGAAATCTAACTTCTACTTTTGATGCTGCAGTCTTGACCCGACTCCTCCTTTGATGACTCTGGCTGGCACCACCCTTGCCTGTCTCATTGCCCTTGTCTTTTTCTCAGGGCATTTTTCTGGCTGGTCTCCTTGCTCCTGGCCTCTGTGGTGTGGTTCATCTTGGTCCATGTGACAGACCGGTCAGATGCTCGGCTCCAGTATGGCCTCCTGATTTTTGGTGCTGCTGTGTCTGTTCTTCTACAGGAGGTGTTCCGCTTTGCCTACTACAAGCTGCTTAAGTAAGGACCATGGGATGGTTTGGACTATGGGAAGTTGGCAGCCCCAGGGTGGTGGTTTGGAAAGAAAGACACCAAGGGAGGATTCTAGGGGGACAGGAGCATCCCTACCCTCCCTTATGTTTCCCCTACCCCACCTCAGGAAGGCAGATGAGGGGTTAGCTTCGCTGAGTGAGGATGGAAGATCACCCATCTCCATCCGCCAAATGGCCTATGGTAAGCCAAGGAAGGGAGAGGGACCTGAGGAGGGATTTGGTCACCCTCACCCTCCCTTTGGGAAATCTCAAAATATTCATGTATTCTAAGTGGCTGCTTTTTCTTCCAAGGAGAAGTGGTCTGGAGGGAGAGTAGATGTGGGAGAAAATTTGCTGGGGAGGGGTAGGGGTCGCTGGTAATGAATTTGTATTGATCTCTGACATTGATGAGACCCTCCCTCCCCCCCAGTTTCTGGTCTGTCCTTCGGTATCATCAGTGGTGTCTTCTCTGTTATCAATATTTTGGCTGATGCACTTGGGCCAGGTGTGGTTGGGATCCATGGAGATTCTCCCTATTACTTCCTGACTTCAGGTAAGGCTCACTTCCAATGTTGCCTTCATGCCCTATCCATCCCTGGCCCTAATCTGATTTATTGACTTTCCTTGGGAGATGTCTTTGGCTCAACATCTCAGGAGGCTGGGAGAAGATCAGGGACATATCTCATCCCCATCTCCTTCCTTGCAGCCTTTCTGACAGCAGCCATTATCCTGCTCCATATGTTTTGGGGAGTTGTGTTCTTTGATGCCTGTGAGAGGAGACGGTACTGGGCTTTGGGCCTGGTGGTTGGGAGTCACCTACTGACATCAGGACTGGTGAGTTGGAGATAAAGGCCTGTGTTAGGGAGCAAACATTTAATGGTGAGTGGGATGTGGTGGTGTGTCCACGCTTCTTAACCTTTTTAACTTGGAGTAGAGGCAGGAGGTGAGTCCTTTAAAAGTTTGTTAGTTCTACATCAGTTATGCCAGCTCTAGGGATGCTCTGGGGAGGAATGGACTAATCAGGCTGTAACCCAGAGGGCCTTAGGTGAATGGAAGTGAGAAAAACCACTGAGGGAACTGAAAATTTAAAAAAAAAAAATCCCCTTGGTATGGGAAGGTGGCTCAGTGGTAGAGTGCTTGCCTCACATGCATGAGGCCGCGGGTTCCATTCCTCAGCACCACATAAGCAGAAAAAGCCGGAAGTGGCGCTGTGGCTCAGGTGGTAGAATGCTATCCTTGAACTGAAGAGCTGAGGGACAGCGCCCAGGCCCAGAGTTCAGGCCCCAGGACCCACCAAAAAAAAAAAAAAAAAAAAAAAAATCTCCTTTTCCTCAAGACATTAGTGTTCTGAAGGGAAGGATAGAAATTTGAGGTACCTGGGGCAGGTTTGGATCAGAGGCACAAAAAGAATACGGGGATTAGGTGGGGGGAGAAGCTAACCTGTTTTCTACCCTCATTCCCAGACATTCCTGAACCCTTGGTATGAGGCTAGCCTGCTGCCCATCTATGCAGTCACTGTTTCCATGGGGCTCTGGGCCTTCATCACAGCTGGAGGGTCCCTCCGAAGTATTCAGCGCAGCCTTTCGTGTAAGGACTGACTACCTGGACTGATCGCCTGACAGATCCCACCTGCTTGTCCACTGCCCATGACTGAACCCAGCCCTAGCCCAGGTCCATTTCCCATCTCCTCCACCTCCTTGTTGATCTGTCCTACCACTTTCCGGGTTTTGTTTTGCTTTGTCCATTTGTGACCTTCGGTCTCTAAGCTTTACCAACACCAGTCTGGGTTCAGCCAGTCAGTGACTGGTGGGTTTGAGTCTGGACTTATCCCGACCACCTGGGAACCCCTTTGTTGTCCAGGACTCCCTATGTGTCAGTGGTCTACTCTCACCCTGCCCATGACTCACCCACCTTCCCCTCTGCAGGCCGACGGCAGGAGGACAGTCGGGTGATGGTGTATTCTGCCCTGCGCATCCCACCCGAGGACTGAGGGAACCTGGGGGGGGACCCCTGGGCCTGGGGTGCCCTCCTGATCTCCTCGCTCTGTATTGCTTCATCTCTAGTTCTGGACAGTGCAGGTTGCCAAGAAAAGGGACCTAGTTTAGCTATTGCCTTGGAGCTGAAATTAATGGAGGCTCAAGGGTTAGATGAGCTCTGAGTTTTCCAGTACTCTTTCCCCAGACTAGATATCTTGGTCATTTTCTCAGGTCTGAAAGGAACCATTTTTTTCAGTGTGATAAAGACCCCAAACTGCCTTTTCTTTTCTTTTCTTTTCAAGTGTGGGGAGGGAACTCTCCTAACCTCTTTGGACTCTATTTTCCCTCAAATTCTTCCTCATGGCTGGGCTCATTTCTATCCTTTTCACCGTTGGTCCCCAGCCTGGGGTAGGGAAAGGAAGGAAGTGCATGTTTGGGAACTGGTATTACTGGAACTAATGGTTTTAACCTCGTTGACCACCAGCATCCCTCCTCTCCCCAAGGTGAAGTGGAGGGGGCTGTGAGGAGCTGACCCCCTCCAGAGCCGCAGTACCGCTGGAGGAGTCAGTCTACCATGACATTCATTGCAGGGCAGAGGGGCAGATTTTTTTCTAGTTTTTAAATTGGGGTATGGGAGGGATGGGGAGGTTTTCTATATAAACTGTATCATTTTCTGCTGAGGGTGGAGTGTCCCATCCTTTTAATCAAGGTGATTGTGATTTTGACTAATAAAAAGGACTTTATAATTGTGGGGGAACTTGGCTTTTAAGGCAAGGGAATCACATACTAATGGAAATTTATGGCCTCCTACATCACTTGTCCAGCCTCCTTCCTAACATGGCAACCACGGGTCTCTAAGCACAGTTGTGGTGTAATAGCAGAAATCTGGGCTGGTGGTTTAATGTGTAGAAACTTTGGGATAAGTATTTAACCAGAAGTAAATCCTCCCTTCCAATGGTGGCATAAAAGGAATTAATCACTCAGGCTTATTTTCCTATCCTTTGTCCATCTCGATCCCATGAAGTAATCCTCCTGGGTGGGAACACCTACACCTTTAAAAGCCCAAATGATAGGCTAGGCTAGAATTGAGGTCAGAGACTTTAATTTCCAAATATCCAGATATATTGAGCGCACACACACACACACACACACACACACACACACACACACACACACACACACACACTCTCTCTCTCTCCCAATAGCAGCCTTTTCTCTAAAGAGAGATCCTATAATAACTGGGGAAAGGGCATAAAAGTGAGGGGTGAAGGACCTTTGGGACATATCCTCACTTCTCATAACTAAGTACAATTTACCTTCTATGTGAATACACAGGGATCTCTTGACCTCCTCCCCTGTGCACTGAGAGGCTCACGACTTGGCTTTTCTTCCTTGAAGAACTGAGGTCCTTACCTCACTGTGGGGCAATGTCCAAAAGAGGGATGGGTATCTGCCTACTACTCCTAGCAGTGTTTTCTGACCAGTCTCTGCACCCCATTGTAGAAGCTCCCTGATAGTGGTGCAGAGAAGGCATCCACGGTGTCTGAGAGGGAGTCTATGCTTCCGCGGCAGCTCGTGCCGAGGTGAAGACCACACTCTTCCTGTTTCCCAACCTCTTCTTCCTGAAATGGGAGTGATTAGTGTCCTCAGAGAGAAAGATTAAAGATGGAATATGAGAATTTGTCCTTTTTAGGAAAATAATCGAATATTTCAAAAGTCTTAGCATTCATATCCATTAGGATAGCTTTTCCTTTCTTTTCTTTTCTTTTTTTTTTTGTCATTTTTGGGACTTGAACTTTGGACCGGGGCGCTGTCCCTCAGCTCTTCAGCTCAAGGCTAGCACTCTACCATTTGAGCCATAGCGCCACTTCTGGTTTTCTGGTAGTTTATTGGAGATAAAGAGTTTCACGGACATTCTTGCCTGGGTTGGCTTTGAACCGTGATCCTCAGCTCTCACCCTCCTCAGTAGCTAGGATTACAAGTGTGAGACATCAGTGTCCAGCTCTTTTTTTTTCTTTTTTAGAAATTCTGGGCTTGAACTCAGAACCTGGGCATGACAGCCTCTTTGTGCTCAAGGTTAGCACTCAACCACTTGAGCCACAGTGCTACTTCTGGCTTTTTCTGAATAGTTTATTGGAGATAGTTTCACAGATTTTCCAGCCTGGGCTGGATTCAAACCGTGATCCTCACTTCTTAGCCTCCTTTGTAGCTAGGCCACCAGCTGAGCCACCAGACCCGGCTATTTTAAAAATTTACAGAGTATTGCACTTTAAAATTTTACTCTCCTTTGTCCTGTCCACAATTTCAGCAGATTTCATTGTTCTTTTTTTACATTCAAACAAACTTTTTTGACATAGAGAATGCTTTTTCATAGACAATTACTGCATGAATAGAAAGTAGGATCTCACCGAATCTTTCGAGCAATGAAATAAACAGCCAGCAGAAGGCAGAGACAGCCAACCAAGATTCCCACACCTAGGCTCACCATTTCACCTGGAGGGATACAAAGATGGATGGTATCATCCTGAGACTGATAGATAACTGAGCCCTCCCCAACTTGATGAGGATCAGCCCTGCTCCTCACCCAGTTCCTGGGTGGGGCTTTCTTACCTGTGGTATACAAGGATTCCACTGTAGGAATAAAGCAATTGGGTCAGTGAAGCTTCGGATCATGTCCCTTTGGGAGCAGCACACCGATTCTATACTTTTGGAAAATCAGCTGGGTACCCATGGCTGGGAGTATGGTTCCCAGAACCCCTACCCTCTTAGCTTTTACCTTCCCAGGGCCCCCATAGTCCCTGCTTTTGAGTTCTTTGGTTTTCCATCCCTTCTGGGCCCTGCCTGGTCACCTTGGGTGAACGAAGCAAAAACTGTTCGTTGATTAAGAGGCTGAGGAGCTCGGTAGTTCTGCACGAGGGGCTCAGAGGACTCTTCCTCTGTGGAGAATAATGTCTCCTGAAGCCTTTCCAGCTGGGGAAGACAAGAAAAGTCACTTTGGAGGCATGGCAAAGACCCTGAAGTTACAACAATGTCTCTTCCTTTACCTCTCTACGACTCACCTGCTCCACTGAGATCTGGGCCCTTCGATGGAAGACTGTCCAGAGGACACTCTGGTAGCAGGGGGGAGTTGTGAGCGAGCCATTGTAACGGAAGAACTGCTCTAGCTGTGGGGGGAGCAGCTCTCCCAGCCTGAAGGGAGGCACGGACGTCTTCTGATCTGGAGAGAACAGACTAGGACTCATCTTCCTCTGAAGTGAAACCCTTGCTCATTGCTTCTTCCCAGGGCTTTTTGGGTCAGGTTTTGAAGTTTCCTTGTGTAGATTTTTAGAGCTCACCTTTATGTCTAATTTCATGCAAGTGACTCAGAATGTGTTCATAAGCTGGATTCTCAGTCTCACCCATCTGGAAGAGAAGGAAAGGCAGGGAGTGAGGAATGAGTCCATGTTTCATGTAAGACATTTGTGTGTAAATGCTTAGGGTTGTTTGGCTGTCTGCCTTGAATGAGAGGCCAGCAACAGAATAGACCTAAGAGATGCAGAAGCAGCAGACAGAAAGACATGGAAGGGGTTGGGGACCACTGACCTCAATTAGGATACCTAGGACAGCCAGGCCTTGAGGCTTCTGGGCAGCCTCACTCAAGCTGCCAAAGGAATCAGAGTCATAATGCACGATGTGGAGCTGGAGGAGGGAGAAGGAACTGAGTCATTGAATGTTTCCTCACTTCCTCTAAGGCCCTATTCATCATCTCAACCCGTGGCATGTCCTAAATCTGTCCCCCAGATTTTAGCCTCATCCTCTAAGGTGCCTTTCCCCAGTGTGTGTATCCTTCCCTCAGGACCAGCCATCCCTGCGTCCTCTACGTCTCCTAGTTCAAGTTCATTTCCGGTACCTCTGCAGCTGTGGCTTCACTGTTGATCTGGTGTTCTGATCCCCCTGGCAATCCTTTCTGACCCCAGTGCAGGTGGAGCTGTGCAGCTACATATTTTCGGGGCAGTCCACCCAAATACAAAGTAGGGGGCAGAGAGAGCTGAACTACAAGGAAAGAACAAAACCTGATTGGTGGAGGAATGTGGGCCATTCCCACCTCAAAATCACCCAGTTCTAGGGCTGGGAAGGTGGTTCAGTGGTAGAGCGCTTGCCTTGCATGCATGAGGCCCTGGGTTCGATTCCTCAGCACCACATAAGCAAAAAGAAAAAAGCTGGAAGTGGTGCTGTGGCTCAGCCTTGAGCTGAAGAGCTGAGGGACAGCACCTAGGCCCAGAGTTCTAGGCCCCATGACCGGACCGCCCCCCAAAAAATCACCCAGTTCTTCCCATAGGCCAGTGTTTCTCTACTATCAATCCCCTCTTTTCAGTGATGACAAAAGACATTCCGTTCCCACCCTGGCTATGGGAACTTGATCACCATCCTTCTATCTCCAATGGGTAGAACTTTGTGAGAATTCACAAGTTGTGAGAAGGTTTTCTGTGACTCCTCTAAGATTTCAAATGGACCCTCCACCTCCTTGGTGCCAGGGCTTTTACCTGTGTGGCCATTATTGTGCAGGTCCAAAGGCTCAGTGCCAGGCTGGTCATATCCATAGGGTTGCAGAGTAGGTAACGTGGGGTCAAATGTCACACTATCTGTCTGGATGTCAATGGGGGACTGGGCGTTGCTTCCACACTCCGGGTAAGAGACTGGCCAGTGGTCCTGACCATGTGGGCCTGGTGGAGGTCACCACAGACATCCGTCTGCCCTCCAGCCCCAGCCTTCAACACCCTGCTCCCCCCGCCCCCCACAACCCACTAATGTGTGAAGGTAGAAATGCACTTCACCCAGTTAGGAAAGGCTGAGTGAGGCAGGAGTCCCTCCCTGCTAAACTTCATGCTGTAGTTCCCAGAGGCAGGAATGGCTTCTCAACTACCCTGATCATCGAGGAAGCGATGGCTCTTTACTTACCTACAGTGTGAGGACAAGAAAGCTGAATGAGGGGAAGAGGAGATGGATAGAAAGCTTGAGTACCCAGAGAGGTAGGATTAGAGAGGAGGAGTAATAAAATGAGGGGAAATAAATAATCCTAGAGAGATGGAATCTCCTCTGGGCCCCCTATCAGGTGGTCCAAATATCTTGACTTTTTGTCATTCAGTTCTTGCTCTCAAAGTAGACTTTGCATTTCAGCAAAGCCATTAAGCAGAAGTTCAAAGGCATCGAGATCCACTTTCCCCAGGCTCACAGACTATCCTGCCAGCCTCGTCACCCCTGACTTTATGCTCAGTCCAGTTTCAGAGGTAGGTTGGGGACAGGACTGGCTAGGATAAAGAATGCCAAAACAGCAGCTATGCTCAGGTCCTTTCCAATCCAACTCCCACATGCTTTACTAGGGACTCGACTGGCCTTTCTGCTGAATCAGGAGGAGGTGGGATTTAATGATTAGAACAAGGTCTGGGAGTCATCTATGTAAAACCCAGGGCAGGGTGCAGAGAGAAACCCAGGGCAGGGTGCAGAGAGAAAGGGAAGAAAAGGGCTAGTGGTGAAGCTCAAGGAAATCTTCCTTTCCTCAGGGACAAGTCTTCCTAGCAGGTGAGTGGCCCAGAGTTCGGCTCTCACCTTCATATGTCCAGTGGTGACCTGCAAGGCAGAATGGTTTGGGTTATAGCCAACAGCCTAAAGGCAGAGCCCTGGCCTCCACTCTCCCCCTCCCTCCTTCATTCCTCCTCCCACTGCTCCTATACTTCCCAAAGGAAGCCCTGAAACTGGACACCTCAGTGGAAAGGTCGGTGTGTGTGTGTGTGTGTGTGTGTAAGCATTTAAAATGACCAGCTAGGCTGTGCTTGTGCTTGCTGAGTAAAAGGGGAGGAGGAATGAAAAGAGATAAAGCTTGGAGACTAAAATTAACCTGGATCCAAGAGTGCAGTCAGTCCAGCCCTTACTTTTTTTTTTTTTGCAAATTTTTTATTGCGATTAAGTGGTTACATAATTCCCCAAATTTCACAGTATTGTGGGATAGTGATGCTTAGTTAAAGTCACACACACATTCTAACTTTCATGGGGCAAATTGTCTATCATGGTCTATAACATTTAGGAGTTCTATGAGCTTAGCGATGCAGTTATTTCTTCCACATTGGGTGATATGTACATTTCTTTTGTTTTGCATAGCATCAGCTGTTCCCTCTTTCCCACTTGTTCCCTCCCTCCCATCACTGCCATTGAGTTGCTTAGTTCATTTTGGTCAATGTCCAGTGCAGCTGATACAGCCCTTACTTTTCTACAGCCTGGGCCAAATCAATCTAACACTTAAAAGATTGAAGTGGGGTGGGGCGAGGGTGAGGACAAGAGGACTTCCAGGACAGGGACTAAAAAAAGGGAGGAATTATTCTTTCGCCTTGAAGCATTACATGAATGAAGGCTCTGAACTATAAATTAAATCCCTCCTTTCTGCTTCCATAGCTGTAGAGGAAGCTCCCTACCACCAGGAGCCTCTGCTACCCACATTCTAGAGGGCTAAGGAAGGGCGGGAGTCAGGGCAGGGTCTACACTAGGTTGAGGGTGGTGGGTGGGCTCAGGCAGCCAGACTGGCAGGGACAGGATGAAAGTGAAGCATTGTGTGTAGAAAGGAGAGCTGCCAGCTGGGTCACATGCCAGGCTCGCAATGCAGTCCCGTCTCTTGAGGAAAGGCTGGGGGCTGGGGGGTGGGGGGTGTCTATTGGTCCAGCCCCTACCCAGGGCCAAAGTGCTTTAAGCTTAAAAGGGAGGTCTTTCGTTGCAATATTAAACTGCTAGAAACTGGAGGAAAAAAAATCCAAATTTCTTTTTTTCTCTCTCTACAATTACCCTTCATTTTTTCAGACTTGCAAGATGTCTTGGATCTCATTCTTTTTGTTGTTGTTGGTTGTAGGGCTTGAGCTTTGGGCCTGGGCACTGTCCCTTAGCTCTTCAGCTCAAGGCTAGCGTTCTACCACTTGAGCCACAGTGCCACTTCCAGTTTTCTAGTAGTTTATTGGAGATAAAAGTCTCACAGACTTTCCTGCCCGGGCTGGCTTTGAACTGCGACCCTCAGATCTCAGCCTTCTGAGTAGCTAGGATTACAGGCATGAGGCACCTCCCAGCTTTGGGTCTCATTCTTAAGACTATTCCACCATCCATTCCCTAATTCAGGTAACTGTAAAGCAGCCCAAGGGAGGGCAGGAGATGGCCTGAAGGACACCCCAATAACTAGAATTTCCTGGTTCTTTGAAGGTGTCCTTTTACTGCCAACAAGTCCTCCATGCTGAGTCTATATCCTTTTCTCCTCTTTCCTTACTACTTTTTTTCTTTCTTCTCTTACATTCTCATTTTGTTTTCTTTTTATCTTGCCAGTCCTGGGGCTTGAACCCTGGATGCTGACCCTGAGCTTTTATGCTCAAGGCTAGCACTCTACCACTTTAGACACTGGCTTTTTGGTGGTTAATTCGAAATAAGGGTCTCATGGACTTCCTTGTCTGGCTTGGTTTTGAACCACGATCCTCAGATCTCAGCCTCCCAAGTAGCTAAGATTACAGGCATAAGCCACTGGTGCCCGGATCTCATTTTGTTTTCTAGATAGCCTCCCCACCTTATTCTTCCAAGAAACCTTAATTACACACCTACTGTGTGCTGGATACTGTACTAGGCATGAAAAGCACAAAAATGAGGTCCCTGGAGATACTCCTAGGGCACACAAGTTGGCCCATTCTCTCCCCCCAGTCTCTCCGTATCACCTGGGAGACCCTCATAGTCTTTTGTAAACTATAAAATACCAAACAAACGTTGGCTATTATTCCTACTAGTGCAAACTCAAGCAGCGGACAGCCAGCTAGCCAGCAGTGAAGTGATCAGATGATCATTTGGAGACCGGGGGACTGAGTTGGGCAGGTCACGTAGGCATGCTTCCCCCCCCTCCCCCAATTCTCTTTGTCTCTCAACAGCAGAGTTCACAAATAAAGAAGGCTAGGAAGGCTGCCTGGGACTAGCACGTTGGGGAAAGAGGAGCTCAGGAGAGAATCTGTAGCCTGTAAAGAAATTCCTGAACTTGGGTGTGATTCACTGCCTTCTCTCACAGTTCTCTTCCATCCCCAATATCAGCTGGATTGGAAAGATAAAGAAAGGAGTGATTTTTATACTCCCGCCCTCCCCCCTCCCAACACTTGAGCTAGGCTTTCTTTCCACTCCTCCCTTTTCCCCCAACTCAGCACAATGGTGACATGTGGACATTAGCTCAGAGCAACACACAAACATCCAGTTGTACCTACCCCCATCTGCAGCCAGGGTCCAAATCACCTCTAACAGGAGGGTGAAGAACAACATGGTATATCCAAGAGGACAGGGTGCGGTGAACCAGGGCTCCAGGACTTTGGGGACTAGAGGACTAGGGAAAGTGGAGGAGAGTGATGGGGGGGGAGAGAGAGAGAGAGAGAGAGAGAGAGAGAGAGAGAGAGAAGGAGAGAGGGAGAGAGGGAGAGAGAGGGAGAGGGAGAGAGGGAGAGAGGGCTTCCTGGAGTTAAGTATGTCTTTTTAATCTCTTCTTTCTGCAGACTTCCAATGGGACTTGGTTCCCAATGGAGTACCAAGGATTTCTAGGTACCAAGGATTTCTGGGTCCCAGGATAAATCTCTTGCCGCCTCTCTCTTTATCTCCCTCTGCAGTCTCCACTCCACTTGCTGGCCAGCAACTTCGCAATTGCCTCCTGCTTTTAAGGTGGCTCTGGCCGAATGTAAGTGGGGAGGGGAAGGTGCCTGGATTGCTGGCGTGCAGCTCCTTAAATAGCCGATTAGGCATGCAGGATGGCCCCCGTGCAGAGCCAGAGCGCGCGAGTCTCACTGGAGCCCTGGCCCTGACTCAGGAGCCCAGCTGGGGTGAGCTCTTCCTTCTGTTATTCACTAGTGCTCAGATGGGTGTCTCCTGCAACAGGCAGGGGCAAGGAAGGGGGGCTTTAGGGCCCAATCCCCCCCACCCCCTTCACGAGGACACTGTGTTCTCATTTGCCTGCTTGGCTTCTCCTCCCTGGGTGGTGTGGACAGCTGGTGGGGAACCTGTTTCCACACCCTGGCAGCCCCTGAGCTGCCTGGAAATTGGAAGAGTCCAGAATGAAGAGATAAGAAGATCAGAAGGAGCTGGAGACTCAGGGTGCAAGTGGAATAGTTGGGAAATCAGGGTGTAAAACCTGGGTTGTGGAGTCAGAGAAATGAGGCAGAGGCAGAATTTGTCTTGAGCTCTGTCTGTCTCCTGAGCCACCCCCTTCCCACGGTGAGGACCAAGTCCACGTGCCTGTGTGGCCTGGAAGAAGTGAAGGGGGGGGGGGGTGGTTTTGTTTGCTGTATAAAGCCCATTTGTATGCCCAGCGGGGGAGGGGCTCCCACAGCACCATGGAGAGACAGCGGCTCTAACTGCCAGATCCAGCCACCTCCCTCCCTTGGGAGCTCAGATCTAGGGCGGCTTTTGTCATTGAAGAGGACACTGACCCTTTGCAGAGAGGCCCCGGCAGGAAAGATGGGCAGACGATGGAAACAATCACTACCTTCAATCAGAAAAAAAGAAAAAGGAAAGAAAAAAAAAAAAGGTAGACTCTAAAGAAAGAGAGAATGATTAGAGAGAATCCCTTGTGGAAGAAGGGCTCAGGCCATTCCCTGTTGCCCAACAAAAGGTCAAAGCAGGACCAGGGAGACTGCATGAAACCTGCCACCATGGAGCTGGGCCAGTGGAGCAGAGAGTCTTGGAGTCTCAGGAATGTGGGCTTATGTGTGTTCTCTCCCACGGGACTGGAAATCCCGATTGGAATGTACATCCTAAATCCCTCATTAGAGAATGTGAAAAACACAGATAATGTCAAGCTGGACATTGAAACCTGAGACCTTTTTCTCCTCCATACCCTTCAGTGCCATCACCAGCTGGGAGGGAGGATGAGCCCATTTGCTTTCTTCCCTCTGCCCTCCTTGCTCCTCCCAGGTAGCAATAAATAGTCCTAAACAAAGAGCAGAAGCTAAATAAGGGAGCGGGCTAAAAGCGAAATGAACAGAATAATGCATGTGCTGGGTCATCAGCTCCTGCAGAGACAGGAGCTGCCCGAGCCTTTCTGTTCCCTGTGATAGTTCTGCAGAGCAAGCCTGTTTGGCAGACGCCATTTCCTTTTTCACTCTCATCACCCTCCAAATTATTTTTTCACCTAGAGAGAAGTTTTCTGTTTGTGAGGCTCCTCCCAAAGCCCCATCCATCCCATCTAGGAAGAATGAAAGGTATATAGGGTAAACTAACAAGACATCTTTGGAATCACAGTGGTTAACACAGAGAGGGAAGGGGAGAACAACAAAAAAAAAGGCAAGCAGAGACCCCCTTTCCATGGCAGGAAAGAAGAGATCTGGACGGAATGACCTCTGTCAGGACAGAGTTCCCCTGGAGTGTCTGAGTTTTAGCTTTCCAAGGCAGGTTAGTGTGTCATTCCAGGCGCCACCTGCTGGCTTGTCTGTGAATTAAAAATTTAATTTAAAATATTTTGTGTGTGGTTCCTCCTGGGAAATACTCACTGTTGGTAGGCTTGGGATTTTGCCTACACAGTTGAACACTGCTTTCATAAAGTCAATACTTCCCACTCTGGGGTGAGCAGTCTCTGGGGGTTCTAGAGCTCCCTAATGGACAAAGGGGTTTCTAGAAGAGATGGAGAAGAGGCTAGCATTGTGCTGCAGGATTGACTCTATTCTGATCTTTGGCTTTACTGTGCACATTTCACTTTTGGCTTTTCAGTCTTGCTGATTTGGAGTAGAGGCAAGGGTGCCCTAATATGTTTATTTGTAAGTGATCACATCCACCTTTCCCTCTCCCATTTCTATTGAAACTCTGGCATCTTTGTTTTAGTTTTGCCTTTCTCCCTCTTGCTCTTTCCTCACCTACAAGAATCAAAACATTCCACTGCCTCTGGCGCCATCTCCTGTCCTTCCAACTTACAGTGGAAGGTGAACGTCACAACGCAGAGTGCTATCGTTGATGGGGGTTTTTGTTGTTGTTCTTTACTTTTCTTAAAAGACTTAGATCTTTACATTATATCTATTGATTCAGATTTTTTTTTTGACTATCTTGGAGCTTGAAACTCAGGCCTGGGCACTGTCCCTGAGCCTCTCTGTGCTCAAGGATACCATGAGTCACAGCGCCACTTCCAGCGTTTTCTGTTTATGTGGTACTGAGAAATAGAACCCAGGGCTTTATGCATGCTAGGCAAACACTCTACCACTAAGCCACATCCCCAGCCCTGACTAGTACAGATATTTAAGCTCACAAGTTTAAAGCATTACACAAACCCACTACCTCTCTCTGGGGTTTGTATGGTAGGACATATAGCAGTTCAGTAAAAGAGAAAGGCAAAATAAAATGACAACAATAGTTTACAAAAAAAGAAGCAAGAATGGTTATAGAGGAACTTACTATGTAAGCAGTACAGGTGGTTGGCAACTAATTGCTGGGAAGAAATAATCAGTGAGGAAACAGAATTAGATAGAATTAGACTTTCTAGAAAACCTGATTAACAGAGCTAAGCTAGACCCAGAGATAGTCTAATTTCATAATCACATTCAATATTGCATGTTTTTCTTCTAACATTTTAGTATTGAAATCTCTTAATCACAAAAGTGTGCAGGAATTAAAGTCAAAGTAATTAGGGGGAGGGACATTGGGGGAGTAGGTAGGTCAGATTTCTTTGGATCAGTACCTTCTGCTTTCACTCATTGGCTAGTATTCTCTCAGCTGAATTGCACTTCCAATCCCTTTTTTTTTCTTCAGTTTTTTTAGTTCCGAGTGTGCAGTAGATGCAATATGAGAATCTTGTAGATAGAGGACAGGTACAGGTCTGTGGTTTGAGCTGAGTGCTGATGGCTCATGCCTGTAATCTTAGCAACTCAGAAAGCTGAGATCTGAGGATCATAGTTCAAAGTCAGCTCAAGCAGAAAAGTCCAAGAGACTCATCTCCAATTAACCACCAAAAAACTGGAAGTGGGGCAGCTCAAGTGGTAGAGCATCACTGTTGAGTGAAGAGCTAAGGGACAATTCTCAAAGTCCTGAGTTCAAGCCCCAGGACCAGCACACATGCACCAATAAAAGTTTGTGTTTTGAAATATTGCAACTTATTGAATTAAAAAGGAGTGATTCTGCATTCTAAAACTGGAAGTGGCACTGTGGTAGAGTGCTAGCAAAAAAGAAAGAAAGAAAGAGAAAAAGAAAAGAAAAGAAAAGGTGTGGTTCTGCGTCACTCATTTATTCCATGCGTTGAACAGTGCATAAATACTTTCAGATTGGGCTGGGAAGGTGGCTCAGTGGTAGAGCGCTTGCCTTACATGCATGGGGCCCTGGGTTCGATTCCTCAGCACCACATAAGCAAAAAAACAAACAAACAAGAAGTGGCGCTGTGGCTCAAGTGGTAGAGCGCTAATCTTGAGCTGAGCTGAGGGACAGCACCCAGGCCCAGAGTTCAGGCCCCACAACCGGACCAAAAAAAAACACAAAAACTTTTAGATTAAGTGAATGTGTCTAGTCATTGAAACCATTGCTTCTGCCTCTGGTATTTCATAGAATTTTAGACTATAAGGGCCCCCAGGCATTGCCCTTATGCCCTGTAGGAAATGACTTTGAAGAGAAGTCTCTAGTTTACAAACACATATTACCATATCACGTAGTGACAGGTGCTGCCCATGGCATGACCTAGAAATAAATCTCTAAGGGAGGCATTCTATTCTAGAATAGAATGGTGACAAGATATAAAAGAGGTGCAGCAGCGTTAGGAGAACCAAGGTAGAAATGAGGAATTACTAGTGGTGAGACCTATATTACCTATCAGCAATCTTTCTCACAGGCTGGCAACATAATCGTGGCGATTTAACTGTGTTCTTTCATAGACCAAAAGCTAACAGGTGTCAATTCAAGGAAGGCAGACCCATATTTCATTGTTTCTGAGAATGACACCAAAAGATCCTTCTTCATATCCTTCGTGAATTACTTTTTCTGGTCGAGGGAGGGCAAAGGTTATCTTGGTGTTCTGAAATTGTGATTGCTCCTCATTCCACCTGTATTTTCGACTTCATTTTTCTTTTCTATCATTTGTCTAACTCAGATGAAGGTTGTATACCACCAACCCCAGAAAAAAACAAACAAACACGTTATTCCTGTCACTTCCCTTCAATGTGAGAAACATTTTTAAGTTTTACTTAGCATGGAGTAGTTGTACAAGAACGAGGTTTTATTTCTGTACATGCATTCAATGTAACAAACGCATCTCTCTATCATTCTGCCTATTCCACCTTCTTTTTTTTTTTTTTTTTTTGCCAGTCCTAGGGCTTGACCTCTGGGCCTGGGCACTGTCTGAGAGCTTCTTTTTGCTCAATGCTAGCACTCTGCCACTTGAGACACAGTGCCACTTTCAGCTTTTTCTGTGTACGTGGTACTGGAGAATAGAACCCAGGGCTTCATGCATGCTAGCCAAGCACTCTACCACTAAGCCGAACTCCCAGCCCTATTACACCTTCTTAAAACAACTTCTTTCTCTCATCTTCTTTCTGTCTCAACCTTCTTCCTTTTCTTTTCTTTTCCCATGTCTCCCCACCCCCTCTCTTTTCTTTCCTGTGTGCTGGGATGGAACCCTGGGTTGAACATACTAAGGAAGTACTCCATCTCTGAGCTACACGTCAGCCCTATCTATCTATCTCAGTCCTGGGGCTTGAACTCAGGTGCTATGCACTGTCCCTGAGCCAATTTGTGCTCGAGGCTAGCATTCTACCACTTGAGCCACAGCACCATTTCCAGCTTTATCTGTTGTTTATTGGAGATAAGGGACTCACAGACTTTCCTGACAGGGCTGGTTTTGACCCTGAGGTCTCAGC